ACAAGAAGTTCTAAAACGTTTGCACTTTACGTTTACAAGAATAATACGTCGTTCTTAGAAAATATAGATATAGCATCGAGCCTCAAAAACGGGTCAACTTTTTGTCAGCTAATTGTCAAATTAGCTGACTCGTTTCTTTGTCAGTGTTCTATATACGTATTTACTTACGCACACAATGTATCTTGACGTATTATTTAATAAATAAAATGAGTGTTTACGCATTAAATAAGATGCAGAAATTATAAGACAAAATAAATATAGAAGTTATAAAGGAATCACTCGTAAACTACTTATCACGCAAATTTGTATTTTTTTTATGTTACTGAGGTGACAACCAGGCATACGGCCCGCCTGATGGTAAGCGGTTACCGTAGCCTATGAACGCCTGCAATACCAGGGGCATTACGCGCGCGTTGCCGACCCTGAAGAAACCTCATTATCCCACTTTTAAAAAATTTTGTTTCTTACGGATTCCTCTCAGCAGGTAACATGCCGAACCCAGCAGTACAATCATAAAAATTGGCAATTTAAAAGAGCTTGTAAACGAGTTTATTTGATTAAAGATTATTTTTATTAAAAATACTCGTAACCGGCGAGCGTGTATGAAAAGATTGATGAATGTGGAGGAAGCGAAATAGGTTCGTTTGAATCGAAGCATTTGGCGTTCCATTGTTTCTGTCTACCTTAATGGGAGACGGGCGTGACAGATATGTATGTATGTATTATTTTTATTCTATTTTATAATTAGATATTTATTTTATTATTATTATTATATCAGCCGCTAACAGTCCACTGTTGGACATAAGCCTTCCCCATAAGGGGAGCTTTGCCAGTAGTTGCCACGCTTGACAGGCGGGTTGGCAACCGCAGTTAAGTTTTTAGAGATGTTTTAAGAAGGACGCTGTTGCCCATTCCTCGTCCTCCCTTAGTCTTCTCTTACGACATCCACGGGAAAGGTGGCCTATTTTTTTTTACAATGAGTGAAAATGGTATGGTAACCCCGCCTGCGCTAACGGGATACGCTGGCGGGGCACCAGTGAAGGGTGATAGATGAGAATGAAAACAGGCCAGTTAGCCCATCATGATGAATTCATTAGGAATTAACCATGATAGTTTCCAGGGAGAACCGCGTGGAGGTGGACCTGGTTGGGTATATTGCTAGCAATGGGATTCTCAGTCCCTATTACTAACAATCCCTTTCCCCCCGGGGTGGACTATTCTACGCCGGGACCGCACGGCGATATTAAGCGAATTGGATGTTGCGACAAATAAATTAAACAATTAATCTAATTAATTTGTACTAATTTGCGATTATACTGAAATTCAGTTATTTCCCTCAGTCCCCAAAGGACAAGGGAACGTCGCGGTTTTACCAATGCGGAATCCATTTTGTGTTTGCATCCCGTGGGACTTTAAAACCCCTTTTTAGTGGGTATCGAACACGGTAAAAGGATACTGTCTACCCAATTCAAAGGTTATCCAGAAAGCACTAATAGTAGGTACTTCGACATAGATTGGTACTGTATAACAGCATTTGTTACTACGTGGCAGTAAAAATGTATAATAAAATAACTTTTTTTTATGCAACTTAGAATGGTCAACAAGCTGACGGCCCACCTGATGGATAGTGGTAACCGTCGCCTATAGACATGAGCAGCACCATAGACATAACAGAGTATACTGTTTCGCCCATGATACCCCCCATGCGTTGCCATTCCTGAGGACTCGGGTGTTATTTCTCTGTACCCAGTAAATTCACGCCATATACCACCCTTCAAATCGAAACACAGCCATGCAAACACAACTGCTTTACGGTTGATACACAAATGGGACAGAGGTACCCAAGCAATCGACTTTTGTACGAAGTCTTCCTCTGGTAAGATATGTCACATGTCTATTGAGACAGATATTTCACATATAAGACAGAAGAGTGTTGGCAGTCACACACATACTAACGGTAGCGGAATTAAACAAAATAATTTTAATGGAATAACCAGAGATGTGGATTTCCGCAAAATAACACCTAGTTTAGAAAAGTAAATAATAATTTATTAGCCAATACAGTTTGCACAAATGCATAATGTATATATGTGCCTTTAAGTTTGTGTATATTTATGTATGTATTTGTTTATGTATATATCTTTGTATATATTTGTTTTTATATAATAGTGCGCCACCTACCCTTTGTTTTTCTTTCTTTTCCCAATGTCCTCTACCCAAAGGTTGTCTGGAAGAGATTGCTTAGCGATAAGGCCACCTTTGTATCACTTCTTATTACAGTTAAATGTATTTACTATTCTATAAATGGTGCAATAAAGTGTAAATAAATAAATAATGCAAGTGAAGGGAACACACCAATAGAAAGAATACTAATAAAAAATATAGCAACGTCTGGATTAGTTGCACCGACAAGAGGAAACTTTTAAACGAAAAGAGAGAGAGAGTCAATAACAAATCACAGAAATTAACAAAACCGCTTCACGTATAAACTATTTGAAAAAATATCACCTATAACTTGTGGCATGGATTTCCACAAGAGAATACCTTGTTCAATAAAAAGTCAACTGCGAGATTATCTTTCCAAACAAAAAATTTTCCAAAAAACAAAATGAAAGTCCTCTCTCGTTATCCGAGTGATATTTCACGAGTTTCCAAAGGAGATAATCTTTATAACTTTGTAATACTTTCGACTTTATTGTGGGAGGGGTGGGGGGAGGATTGGAGGAATATATTACTTATGGACTTAGATTCGATTTAATTGGTAAAAGGACTTAATATTTTTATCATCACCAAAATTACAGACTAGCTATTTCCCGAGGCTTTGCGTATCCCGTGAAAAAATATGTTTTCGCAACCATGTTATTTTTATTATTTTGCAGAAACTCGAATCCAAAAGTATAAAATTGTGATTCAAATAAAGTGCATAAATTACTGTACCAATTTGGATGTAGTTTCAAAGTTGCCGTATGGTCCCGGCATGGAATAGGCCTATATTTCCTTTCTCGTAGGTGTCATAAGAGGCGACTAAGGTAGGACGAGGGATTGGCGGTAGCGTCCCTCTTAAAATATCTCCAAAACCTAACTGCGATTGTAAATCCGGATGTTAAACTTCGTAACAACTGACAAAATTTCCAAAGAGTGAGGCTTTTTTTTTTATACAACATAGAATGGCAAACAAGCTGACGGCCCACCTGATGGAAAGTGGTAACCGTCGCCTATAGACATGAGCAGTACCAGGGACATAACAGAGTATACTGTTTCGCCCATGATACCCCCCATGCGTTGCCATTTCTGAGGACTCAGATGTTATTCCTCTGTACCCTGTAAATTCACTGCCATATCTCACCCTTCAAACCGAAACACAGCCGTGCAAATACAACTACTTCACGGTTGAAACACGAATGGGGATGGGAATGGGCTTATGTTTAGCAGTGGACAGTTAAAGGCCGACATGATGACAATGATTCCTAAAAAAGGTTTAATTTAAAATTTGATCTCTCTTTTATCTCGATATTATCTATAAATGGTTTCTTCTAAATGTTTCACTACTTCTATATAGTAAAACATTTTCTATATCTATAGAGACGTCGAACAAATTTCCACCATCAGTTATGATGTATGGGGGCTCATAAAATTAATCCAGTTTCGTGTAATCACAGCCCGAATGTAACACCAAGCCATTACTTGTTGGCGTGGATAAATTTCCCTGTTTATGTATTAAAGGCCGGAATCTACAAGACGCTGGGTTTTCTGTTACAATTTTGAAATTGAACCGCGTTATCAGTAATTATTTATGACTGAACATCTGTATATAGTGTAAAACAAAGTCGCTTTCCACCGTCTAAATATATTTATTGATTGATTTTGGTTTGGTCATTTGGAGAGGATGGATGAAAGAAGAATTACGAAAGAGATTTATCGAGCAAGAATGAATGGAGCTGTCGGTAGGGGCCGCCCTAGACGGACGTATGTCGACCGAATAGGCGACGTGCTGAAGAAGGGCCAAATTAAAAGTACCCGTAACCGGCGAGCGTGTATGAAAAGATTGATGAATGTGGAGGAAGCGAAAGAGGTTTGTTTGAATCGAAGCATTTGGCGTTCCATTGTTTCTGCCTACCCTAATGGGAGACAGGCGTGACAGATATGTATGTATGTATGTATTTTGTAAAATCACTTATAATATTTTAGGTTATAACAAAAATGTGCACAGACGGAGTTATCCCTTGAAGGGATTTCTTCCAGTCAACTTTGAGAACCCGAAACGAGAAATTCTCTATAGACCTTGTATATAAAGCGTAACATATATGGTTCAAAAATAATACGAGAAATAACAAATTATAAATATATCAATACATATGTACAAACATCTATTTAAGAGCTGCGCTCTTGTCGGTGGAGCTCTTGCCACTCACTACGATTGTCAGCGAGTCTCCTCACCTCTTGATACGACACGACACCAACTCCTTCCTTGATCTGCCTGATCCAACTATGCCTCGGTCTCCCTCTTCCCCTCCTTCCTTCTATCTTACCTTCTATTATAATGTTCATAAGTTCGTCGTGTCGTAATCGTGTCGTATCAAGTGTCCCAACATTTTTTCCCTTCTGTCCTCAATAGTTTTTATAATTTGTCTCTTTTCCTTAACCCTAAGCAGGACTTCCTCATTACTAATTGAATCTGTCCAGCTAATTTTCTCCGTCCTTCTCCAGCATCACATTTCAAAGGCTCTAAGTTTATTTATTTTGTTCCGAGTTAGTGTCCACGTCTTACATCCATACAAAGCTATACTCCAGATATAGGTCTTGATAAGCCGTTTTCTAATATCTTTTTGGAAGATGCTCGGACGCAATGCTCGCACTAATATAAATAAGTAGTTACTGAGAATAATTTGCAGTTTTACGTTTTCCCTCTTAATAAAATAACAAAATACTACATTGGTCACAGCAGAATATCAGTGTTTTGCTCTTTTAAGGGCAAAGCAATAAACTTAGCTGTGACTATTTTGTGTTACAATGGCACACGCATGAAGGAAGGAAAAGAAAGGAGATTGTTAGTTTATATATTTTGTTTTTTTTATTTGTGCTTTTTTATTTTCATTCTTTTATCTCTTTTGCTGTGTATTACGTGTATGTTTTTTTTTTTATTGTAGTTTGTGTGCTGTAAGTAATGTAAATAAATTATCTATCTATCTATGTACAATACTACATAATTGTGTACTGAACTATGTCGTTTCATTTGTGATTTCAAGAAGTATATAATTGGTGTTCAGGGAGAATAAGAGCGGAATGTTGTTGTAAAATACAAGTTTAGCCCGACAATTTATTGTGCGAATATATGCGTGTGCGGTTGCCACTATGCTGTGTCTGTCTGCCGTCCGCGAGCCGCGAGTCCGCTCGCCGCTGCTCCGCGTCCCGCGCCCCGCGGCCTCCTCCGCAGACCATTACATGGCTTGACCATATACTCCCCGCGTTGAAGTGTCAAGTTCAAAACTCTTCACTGGCAAGGGGCATATGGTGTTGTATGCTCGCCGCATGACACCCTTCTTGGTCTGAATGTCGGCAACCCTTGCGATACCATCCCTTCCAGGTATTATGCGGATAACGCGGCCCATGAGCCACATTAATGGAGGTGAGGTCTTCTCCTTGATGACGACGAGGGTGCCCTCCTTAAGCTCGCCATAAGACCGATGCCATTTGGTTTTCTGTTGGAGCCATACAACGTATTCGTTAGAAAATCGATTCCAAAAATGTTGCTTGAGCAGCTCGATGCGTTGAAATCGCTGAAGAGAGCTGAAGCGGCGGTCGACAATTTCTGGATGTGGCAAAAAGATGATAGACCGTCCAATAAGGAAGTGGGCAGGAGTAAGAGGATAAATATCAGAAGGATTGTCGGAAATAGGTGTGATAGGACGAGAATTTAAGATGGCTTCAATTTGAATAAGAAGAGTAGCCATTTCTTCATAGTTTAAATGAGTCTTATCTAAAATACGCCTAAGAAGATGCTTCGTTGATCGAACAAGCGATTCCCATAGGCCTCCAAAGTGAGGAGTATAGGCAGGAATAAATGAAAAGTTTATACCTTGTTCGGCCAAATCCGTAGACAACTCAGATTGTTTGAGGAGCTTGGAGAGCTCATGAAAAGTCCCAACAAAGGTAGTGCCGTTATCCGAAAATATCGTTTGCGGCTTGCCTCGTCGTGCTATGAATCTGTTTAGTGCTGCAATGAAAGCTTCTTTAGTCAAATCCGAGACAAGCTCTAGATGCGCCGCCTTTGTGGCAAAACACACAAACACACAAATGTAAGATTTTATAATTTTGCAGCCCCTACCCTTGCGATCAGCTATCAGCACTGGACCGGCATAATCGACGCCTGTTTCTAGGAAAGGAAATTCTAGATGGACCCGTTTCTCTGGTAGGTTACCCATCATGGGCTGAATGGTTTTTCCCTTGAACCTAGTGCACCTAACACAAGAGCGAACTATACGTTTTGCTAAGTTGAGTCCTCCTATAGGCCAATAATTATGTCTAGCAGTGGCTAGTAATAACTGAGGCCCTGAGTGCATGAATTTTTTATGAAGCATATTGAATATTAATTCACATAAGCGATGTTTGCCTGACAAAAGAATGGGATGTTTGACATTGTAGTCATAATGAGAATCATTAAGCCTGCCACCCACGCGGATGAGGTTATCAAAATCTATAAACGGTGATAATGACACTAACCTATTCTTGAAAGGTAATTGCTTGTTTGACAAGAGTAACTCACGTTCCTCAGGGAATGAATCTTGCTGAGCTGTACGTAAAAGAAGTTTGGCAGCATTATTTAATTCTAATAATGATATTTGATCACTTAGTTTATTTGTATTCTTTTGGCAGTTATTGACGAATCTTAAGACAAATGCAACTACACGTTGCAGTCGTGTGAAATTTGAAAACTTGTCAATTAAAGATGAAATTAAACTACCTTTATTATTAATTAAATTACTGTCATCTGTGTGAAATGATTGTATCGTTTCAGGTAAATTGGAATTATGTTTATTTGGATTAAGTGGCCATTGAGATGAATCTAGTTTTAAAAATGAAGGCCCTGACCACCACAAGGAAGAATTGTTTAATAAATCTGCTCTTAGACCTCGGGATACTAAGTCAGCTGGATTTGATTTTGAGGGTACATAACGCCATTCGTGAGAACCTTCCTGTATCTCCACAACTCGGTGCCGAACAAATGGTTTAAGCTGACTTGGTGAAGAAGCAATCCAGCCTAAGACGATGGTGGAATCTGTCCAAAATACACAACGACTGAATTCAAGAGTAACCGATGTAATCACCTTCTTGTACAGTCGTGCTCCTAAAAGCGCGCCACAAAGTTCAAGTCGTGGGATTGTAGTAATTTTAATAGGAGCTACCTTATTTTTGGAAACCAAAAGACGGACATCAATTGAACCTTCGCTAGATATACTTCTTATATATACACATGTACCATATGCTTTCTCCGATGCGTCTGTAAATATATGTATTTCTGTGTTGACTGTACTGTTATTTTTAATACACCTAGGAATCTTAAGATTATTCAGTAATGGTAAGAACTGTACAAATTCTGACCATATTTTTTCTATGAGAGGGGGAACCTTGTCATCCCAAGAGCATTTATTTATCCACAATTGTTGCATTAATATTTTTGCTTCCACTATACATGGCGATACAAGGCCTAATGGGTCAAATACTTGTGAAATTGTGGACAAAATAAATCTCTTGGTTAATTTATCTTGAGATGAAATATTAATAGAAAATGATAAGTGGTCTGTTAGACATTTCCAATGAATACCTAATGTTTTTGCACACTCTTTTGCACTAAGATCTACACTACCAGATCTCTTATTGTTCTGACATATACTATTTAATATGGTACTATTATTTGAGTGCCATTTTCTCAAATTAAATTTGGCTGACTGAAGGGTGTTGATTACACCTTGACACAATGAAATTGTGTCTTCAATAGTCTCATGTCCACTTAAAAAATCGTCTACGTAGAAGTCATGACATATAGCGCGTTTTACTTCAGAATTGTTAGAGTCATGACCTAACTGTGTAAGACATCTGGTGGCTAGAAATGGCGCTGATGCCGTGCCGTATGTGAGAGTGTTTAGGGTATATGACTTAAGAGGGTGGGAGGGATCAAACCTCCATAATATTTTTTGTAAAGGACGTTGTGCGTCGTCTAAAAGTATCTGCCGATACATCTTTTCTATATCTGCTGATACCACGAACTTGTGCTGTCGAAAACGTAATAAAATAGATAATAAGTCGTCCTGCATAGTAGGACCTACGCGTTGTATGTCGTTAAGCGACTTACCTGAAGACGTAGAGGCAGAACCATCGAACACAACACGTAGTTGTGTGGTTATGTTAGATGTTTTAAGAATGCCGTGATGTGGCAAATAACATTGAATTGTTTGATTATGATTTTTAAATGTGTTTTCACTCATATGACCCAGATCAATATATTCTTTTATGAATTCTACATAAAGACGCTTCAAATGTGACTCTCGTTGCAAACGACGCTCAAGAGAAAGAAATCTGTTTTTAGCAAGTGAATAAGAATTGCCTAAAACCTCAGGAGGTTCTCTGAGTGGCATAGAAACTACAAAACGTCCTTCTTTGTTGCGCTGTGTAGAATTCATAAAATCTTGTTCGCATGCATGTTCATCCGGAGTGAGCTCATATTTAGATGAAATTGTATCTAGTTCCCAAAAACGAGTTAAGTCTGTAGAATTATTCTGTAAATTATTAGAAAACATACATACATACTGTTTAGGATCTGATTGACTGATAGTGCCAGAAACCAACCAACCAAATTTGGTTTCAAAAAGAGTAGGTTTATGTGTACCTAACTGGATGCGATTTGTACCGATCACACTCCAAAAGACGTCCGCACCTACTAGAATGTCAATGGTTGACGGAACGTTGAAATTTGGATCGGCTAAGCAAACCCCAGGCGGTATTTTTAAATTATGTATATCTATATATGTGTTTGGAAGCAAAGTTGTAATAGTGGGTAAAACAAAGCAATTGATGTCTGTCCTGTAGCCACCAACATAAGACTCCAATGTAAGAGAGCAAGACAATGAACTAGTGGATACTTGATGATTAATACCTGTTACCCTTGAATTCGTAGCATGTGTACGAAGATTGAGCTTGCCACAAAAGTCCTTTGTGACAAAGTTTCCGGTACTTCCATTGTCTAACAAGACTCTAGCTGCATGTGGTTTCCCGTGGACGTCAAGCACCTTGACCAAGGCTGTGGATAATAAAATATAACCCGTATTAGTTGAGGACTGAGATGGCTCAGCAGATAGGACAACACTATCATGCGTGACAGGTTCGTGATGAATATCAAGATGAAGAAGAGTATTGTGCTTGGATTTGCAATATTTGCAATGTGACAATTTACACCGTGTCTCATGATGACCAGGTCGAAGGCAGTTTAAGCATATTTTAAAACTTTTAGCTTTTTCAATGCGTGCATCTACTGACAGTTTCCTAAATGTATCACAGTTAAATAAATGATGATCATGTTGACATAATGGACAGGAAAGCGTTTTATTTTTACTTGAAGAAACTATAAAGCTGTTGGATTTTTGAACGTGAGTAGATTCAGAATTACCTTTATTGTTTTTTGCCTCCTCTAAAGTCTCTAGAAGATCAGCCCTGTTAGACAAGAAGGTTATAAAAATATCTAGAGTAGGTGGATCACTGCAATTGTTTCTATACTCCTCCCACTCTCGGTTTGTAACACTGTCTAATTTAGTTGACATCATATAAATTATTAATGTATCCCAGCTGTCTGTTGGCTGGTCAAGAGTAGCCAAAGCTTTAAGATTTTTGTTTGTGACATCGACTATATAACGCAAAGCTTTACTAGATTCTTTTTTGATAGAATTAACATTAAAAAGAGCTTGTACATGGTTATTTACAAGTAAGCGTTTATTGTCGTATCGCTTGCACAGCAATTCCCATGCAGAAGCATAATTTTCTGCCTTGAAGTCTAAGCTTTTAATAACTAAAGCTGCACTACCTTGTAAGCAAGCGCGAAGATAATGAAATTTGTTTATGTCATCAATAACAGTACTAGAATGGACTATAGAAACGTACGTGTCCCTGAATTCGAGCCAATGCTGATAGCTGCCATTGTACACGGGAAGCTGGATCCTGGGAAGCCTTACAAAATTGCTTTGTTTGTGCGCACAAGCATCATAAGAGCTTACCTCGTGATTTGTCGATGTAAATGACGGTATACACAGACTCCTAGCCGTCGCGACAGCCGCATAATACTGGTTCTCGAAAGCGTCCCTTTCCTGATACCTCTGGTCAGGATCGTCAGCAATTTCTTCGATCTCACCCTGAAGAGTATTAAAGTCCGAATATAAGGATTCCATTTTATCAATGCGCGATTGAAGCTCGAACTGAATGACAGCATTACTAACAGCTGAGCTATTTTTTAATATATTAATGTAATTGCAAAAATTTGTAAGTTTGCTTTTAAAAGTACCACGCTTTTTAATTAATTGATTTAATTGTGTTGCTTTATTTTCTGTCATTGCAAAAGTTAATCAAGATATAGTTATTAAATAAAATTAAAAATTGTAAATAAAGTAATAAAAATAAATATATTTTAATTATCTACAATAAAAAAAAATACTTAATTAAAAGATAGCAAATTAAAAATATACTAATCTGTGATAATGTGTCTGACACTGCACAGATGCTACAGTACAAAGTCCGTTGATCGGTTGGTAGTAATTTAGCAGACTACTGGCTAACCTAAGAAAAAAAAACAAAAAAATAAATTATTGCACGGTATTAAAATATTACACTGTTAATTAGGTACGTGAGATATGATTAAAGCAACTAAAAGCAGATTGATGTAATTAATCGCATTTACTTAATAAAACAAAGAATTAACTAAGTATATAATACAATAGCGTTGAAAACTACGTGATAATTATGATTGTATGATTCGTGATTCGATTATGATATTTACTGCCTATGGTAGGTAGCGTAAAAAAAATGTTACTTAAAAAAAGCGTCTACGATTTACTTATTACGGAGATATTAATAATCAATGTATAAATAGATATTACGATTTTAGCTTTTTAATCTACAAGACTACAAAAAAACTAATGAAGTAAATGGCAATAACCGTTTATGGTTTGAAATGAAAGTAATAACTACTTAGATTAAAAATAAGTGATTAAGTATTATGGAATTATGGAATGAATTCACTAATGGAAAGGTTAAATGATGATAATATGATGATGGAAAGCAAAAAGATAGATAATGGAGCGATCTTACGGTCTTTATGCACTATCCATATAATCCTTTTTGTTTTCTTGTCTTGAAAAGCGTTGTAGGGCCCGTAGAATTCTGGTCGGAAGACTAAACAGCAACAAATTCCCAGCTCCAAAACGTTGAAGAGCGGCGTTGAAAGAAGCCCGTCAAACCGTTGAAAGAGGCCTGTCACACCGTTGATCAAAGACGACCGCGTCGTTGTTGGAAGCCGGTGGAATTTATCACGATGTAATTTAAACAGTCCAGTAATTGAATAGAGCTCGAAGGACCATATGTTCAGGGAGAATAAGAGCGGAATGTTGTTGTAAAATACAAGTTTAGCTCGACAATTTATTGTGCGAATATATGCGTGTGCGGTTGCCACTATGCTGTGTCTGTCTGCCGTCCGCGAGCCGCGAGTCCGCTCGCCGCTGCTCCGCGTCCCGCGCCCCGCCGCCTCCTCCGCAGACCATTACATGGCTAGATTACATAGATCGCACATGGTTTCGTCAGTGAACAGTAGATCTTGGGTCTAGTCAAGTCTGTCACCCCTGTAGCATATTCTACAGCATGTATAGATTCTTAATTTTTTTTTATATTACTTAGAATGTGAAATAAGCTGCCGGTCCATCTGATGGAAAGTGGTAACCGTCGCCTATAGACATGAGCAGTACCATGGATATAACAGAGTATACTGTTTCGCCCATGATACCCCCCATGCGTTGCCATTCCTGAGGACTCAGGTGTTATTCCTCTGTACCCAGTAAATTCACGTCATATCCCATCCTTCAAACCGAAACACAGCCATGCAGATACAGCTGCTTCACGGTTGAAACACGAAAGGGACAGAGTTACCCAAGCAATTGACTTTTGTACAAAGTCTCCCTCTGGTAAATTAAACATAAATTTCTCGAAATCAATTTTCTGTGTATGCTATTCACTTGAAAAGAAGGACCTCTTAATAATATCCAATTTTTGAAGGCTACCAATATCCACTGGTGTTTTCCGGCTCTTTTTCCGGTTAACACAGGATATATCAGGTTCAGGGAGCATTTGTTATTCATAAAGTAAGATTGATTTGCCCGGACCCTTCTCAACGGCCGTTTTTTACCACACTGTCCTATTTTCGGGGTTCCGTACCAAAGGTTGTATATAGATTTATGATAATTCCGTATATATTTGTATTTATGTTGGAAAGGCGAGTCATTTGATGGTCTACATGATGGAAAGTGGTAACCATATTGTGTGTGTATTTATGTACGTGCGTGTGTGTATGTGTGGGTGTGTGTGCAAAAAAAACTATATAAATTATGAAAAAAAACCTCTTATTTTGATTTTGAAACAAAACTACTGAATTGGTTTTTGTCTTTTAATATAATAGAAAAAAGCCGTGCGAAGCCGGATTTAGAATTATTTTGTTTAATTCCGCTACCATTAGTATGTGTGTGAAAGCCAACACTCGAAGACTGACCACCACTATTACTACCAGAAGATCCACGACCTTCCATATTAGCCATCAATCTCCGACTACCATTTTGCGACGCATGTTTCACCTCTAAACGTGGCATCTCCAGACAAATTATTAAATCCCTGCTCGGGGTTCAGTGTAAAAACTGTCGATCAAATCGTGACTTCCGCAAGACTTTCGCCTACTTTATTAAAATACAATATGAAACTCAGCTTACTCAGTAGTACAATAAATTCAAAACTTAAGCATTTATACCTACAACTAATTAAGACATAACTCGACAAACCAATAACAAAATTCATTGCCTGTCGATACTGTCTAGTCGCGGGAAAGTTTGCCATTTTGAATTCGGCGAGAAACTGGGACAATTTTATTGTCGAAAAAACAGTTATCGATGGCGGACAATTTAAAGAAAAAGTTCCCTGTCTTTCGGGGAGCTTTAGAAGAGTAATTAATGAGTTATTTATTGGTTTTTAAACTGTTGTTTTGTACTTCAATCGGATTATCGCTCTTTAAACGCGGACATTAAGTTACATAAAAAAAAAAAAAACAAACAGAATTTTTTTTTGAAAGGATAATGGAATGGTAACCCTACCCGCGCAATCGGTATACACTGGTGGGGCACCAATGAAAGAGAATGGTGAGGATGAAGTAGGTCAGTTAGCCGATCGTGACGAATTCAACAAGAATTGTTCACGATGGTTTCCAGAGGGAACCACGTGAAGGCCGACCTAATAAGGCATATTGCTAACAATGGGGCTGTCAAACTCCATTGCTAACAATTCCTTCCCCCCCCCCCCTAACAGAATACTGTTAGATAATAGAACATAATTCTAATTACAGCCACAGTACCCGTGCAGATGTAAAATTATCTTGTACATAATAATTTCAAATGAGTAACTGCTGAGTTTATTGCAGGCTCTTCTCAGCAGATAGCAACATTTCGAACTCAGTAGTAAAATCATAAAAAAAATTACAATTTAAAAGAGCTTTAAAACAAGATTATTTGAATAAAGGTTATTACTGTTTTATTTTATACCATAATCTATTCAGAAACACCATTATTAACAAACCTGTAAATTCACTGCCAAATCGTACTCTTCGAACCGAAACACAGCCATGCAAACACAGCTGCTTCACGGTTGAAACACGAATGGGACAGAGGTGCACAAGCAAACGACTTTTGGCCCAAGTCCGCTCACCCAATTTAACACACCCCTAGACATTTAGTGCCCTCCATTGCATTGTAAAAATACCACAGTTAAAAAATGAATAAAAATATATTTTTTGTTCATTTTTAACTGTGGTATTTTTGAGTAATTTATTCATTGTTAAAATAACAAGAACACAACTGTGTTTGCATGGCTGTATTTCGGTTCGAAGGGCAGTGAATTTACAGGGTACAGAGGAATAACAACTAAATCTTTAGGAATGGCAACGCATGGGGGGTATCATGGGTGAAACATACTCTGTTATGTCCATGGTACTGCTCATGTCTATAGGCGACGGTTACCACTTTCCATCAGGTGGGCCGTCAGCTTGTTTGACATTCTAAGTTGTATAAAAAAAAAATTAAGACATGGAATGATTAAAGAGTTTTATATCGAAGTTTACAGAAGTTAAAATTTAATTTCCCCACTAAGTAACGAATCCGCGATGGCTCCAGGTACGCTGAATAGAGATGTGAAAAGGTTGCTTCTTCTGCCATCATCTCCGGACCTTCTTGATGGTGGGGCAGACGGTGAGGGTGGTGGCGGTGGCGGAGGGGGTGATGGTGGTTTTGACGGCCCCGGCAGAGGTGGTGGTGATGGCGGGGATGGTGGGGGTGATGGGGATGCATTAGGTAGATTCGGTTTATACTCTGCGTCTTCTGTAATAGAAATGTTGTTATAATTATTTTCATGTGAGATTTGTTATTGTCAAATACTAGCGATTCGACCCGGCTTCTCGCGGATAAATAGAATTTTCGAGAATATACAGCCTGTGTAACACGCTCATAATGTAGTTTTATATATATTTATAGATGATTTTTTTTTTAAGTTGATTAAGTAGTTTTCGAGTTTATCCATTACAAACAAACGAACAAATCTTTCCTCTTTAATATCTTAGTATAGACTAGCGACTCGCCCCGTAAATAACTTATGTTAATCAAGGGTAATGTAGCATTCTAAAGGTAAAAGGATTTTAAAATTAGTACATTCGTTTTTGAGTTTACTTGTTATTTTTTTTTTTTTTTGATGGGTGAAAATGGTATGGTAACCCTACCTGCGCTAACGGGACACGCTGGCGGAGCACCAGTGAAGGGTGATAGGTGAGAATGAAAACAGGTCAGTTAGCCCATCATGATGAATTCATCAGGAATTAACCATGATAGTTTCCAGGGAGAACCGCGAGTAGGTCGACCTGGTTGGGTATATTGCTAACAATGGGATTCTCAATCTCCATTACTAACAATCCCTTTCTCCCCAGTTTACTTGTTAGAAACAAAAATACCTCGCCGTGTCATCCTTGCCATCCCTTTCTTTCGCGTGGGTGTCGTAAGAGGCGTCTAAGGGAGGGTAAGGAATGGGCAACAGCGTCTCTCTTAAAACGTCTCTAAGGCCTAACTGTGATTGCCAATCCGCTTGCCGAGCGTGGCAACTACTAGCAAAACCTCCCAAGAGGGAGGCTTATGTCCAGCAGTGGACAGTTAAAGGCTGATATAGTTTAAAAATAAAAATATTTTCTTTTTACAATATAAGTGTAGAGTCTTCTGTCTCACCTCCATACGCGTAGATGTTCAGGTTGATTGGTGAGCTGCCGCAGCAGTCGGTCCTTCCATAGTCGCTTCTGGCATAGTAATCGTTTTTCCCATACCCGTTCCATGGGTTCTGGCAGGGTTCTGTTACGGGACAGGGGATGGAGCAGAAGGTATTGTAAGGTCTTGAGGATATGAGGAGTGGTTCTGAAAAAAAAAAAAAAAAATATATATATATATATATATATATATATATATATATATATATATATATATATATATATATATATATATATATATATATATATATATATATAAAGACGTAGTGTTCTATATATGTTAAATAGTAATATGTTCTATACAACTTAGAATGGCAAACAAGCTGACGGCCCACCTGATGGAAAGTGGTAACCGTCGCCTATAGACATGAGCAGTACCATGGACATAACAGAGTATACTGTTTCGCCCATGATACCCCCGTGCGTTGCCATTCCTAAGATCTCGGGTGTTATTCCTCTGTACCCAGTAAATTCACTGTCATATTGCACCCTTCGAACCGAAACACAGCCATGCAAACACAACTGCTTCACGGTAGAAACACGAATGGGACAGAGGTGGGAGTTGATTTCAAAGAGTGGTTGTGCGTGGAAGAAAGTGCTTTGAAAAACGCACGGTGGAACACCGCCACTTGTCCAACTTTACAATAAAAAATAAACAAATGAAACAAGATTTTTCCAAATCGGATCACAACTGACGGAGTTACTTGTAATATATGAGGTGACAAACGTGAAAAAAAATACAACTCAATCTTAGAACCTCTTTCTATTTGAAGTTGGTTGACAATATTATATATGGTATTACCAGAGGGAGACTTTGTACAAAAGTCGATTGCTTGGGTACCTCTGTCCCATTCGTGTTTCAACCGTGAAGCAGTTGTGTTTGCATGGCTGTGTTTCGGTTTGAAGGGTGCGATATGGCGTGAATTTACTGGGTACAGAGGAATAACACCTGAGTCCTCAGGAATAGCAACGTATGGGGGGTATCATGGGCGAAACAGTATACTCTGTTATGTCCATGGTACAGCTCATGTCTATAGGCGACGGTTACCACTTTCCATCAGGTGGGCCGTCAGCTTTTTTGCCATTCTAAGTTGTATAAAAAAAAATTAAATTAAAAAAAACTTACGTATTAATAATAAAATTAATACTAAAGCATTAATACAAGACATTTCTCCGTTTTAGCGGCCACCGTCATAACTTCCACAATACAACCGATAACTTGTTCTTACATTTAATATACTCAGCGTATAAAAATTATAATTAAAGAATTCTCAACCTTAACTGTATGGAAAATAAGTGGTTTTCACATTGAATATTTTTATTTTCATAAAAAAAAAAATAGTCAAGCACGAGTTACGATTAAAAAAACAATTGTCCGATAATAGGTTTGTTTGATTTTTACGGATGAATTTAAGCAGCGAGCGAATTAAAACAATGATATTGAATTCGTCACAGTACTGCTATTGAAAATTGTGATATTGGACTTTAAAAATTTGCTTATATATTTATATATATAAAATTCTCGTGTCACGGTGTTTGTTACCAAACTCCTCCGAAACGGCTTTACCGATATTTATAAAATTTTGTGTGCATATCGGGTAGGTCTGAGAAACGGCCAACATCTATTTTCATACCCCTCAATGATAAGGGTGATCCAACCCAAAATATTTTTTTTTTATTTTTTTTATATTTTTTTTTATATTTTTTTTTTATTTTTATTTTATTATAATTTAGCATTGAAAAATACATACAACTTTAAATTTTCATCGTTTTACGATCAACCCCTGTATTTTAATTGCGATTTTTATATTTCGCAATAAGTGGTAAAACAACGTTTACGGGATCAGCTAGTATATATATATATATATATATATATATATATATATATATATTTTTTTTTTTTTTTTTTAAAGTGTTTTTTTTATACAACTTAGAATGGCAAACAAGCTGACGGCTCACCTGATGGTAAGTGGTAACCGTCGCCTATAGACATTAGCAGTACCATGCACATAACAGAGTATACTGTTTCACCCATGATACCCCCCATGCGTTGCCATTCCTGAGGACTCAGGTGTTATTCCTCTGTATCCAATAAATTCACGCCATATCCCACCCTTCAAACCGAAACACAGCCATGCAAACACAATTGCTTCACGGTTGAAACACGAATGGGACAGAGATATCCAAGCAATCGACTTTTGTACAAAGTCTCCCTCTGGTTAACTCAAAATTAACTCAAAAACTTGTATGTTAAAATTAAATCGGCGCTTCTTCTTTCTTTTGCTTCATCTTTGATACTTATAAATATTAGTACCTTGGATTCTGTTGCTAAATTTCATGCGTGTTTCCATGGGACTTCATAAATACTGTTATTGGCACTGTTAGGTCTATTGTTCTAAAACTGTAATGGATATTGTTGTTAATTATTTTGTAAATGACTCTTTGTTGCCATAAATAAATAAATAAATTATATATATATATATATATATATATATATATATATATATATATATATATATATATATATATATATATATATATATATATATATATATATATATATATATATATATATATATATATATATATATATATATATATATATATATATATATATATATATAATATCCTCTTCCTACCCTTATCCCAATTATTATTTGTGGTCGACGTAATATGTTTTTAATAGAAACCGCAAGCAGGTGGACCTGGTTGGGTATATTGCTAGCAATGGGATTCTCAGTCTCCATTACTAACAATCCGTTTCCCCCCTCCTCCTCCCAGGGAGGAAAGAAATTGTCAGTAATATGGATTACCTGGCCCATTGCTAGTAACCTATATTATATTTTCACAGTAGTTCCCTGTCAGGTCTACCTCCACGCTGTTCTCCCGGGAAACTATCGTGACAAATTTATCATTGAATTCGTCACGATGTGCTAACTGACCTGCCTTTTCATTCTCACCTATCATCTCTCACTGGTATCCCGCCAGTGTATACCGATAGCGCAGGCGGGGTTAACATTCCATTTACACCCATAAAATAAAAGCCTTCTGATTGGGTAGGAAAGGAATTGTTAGTAATACGGACTGCCAGGCCCATTGCTAGCAATATTCTTTGTCAGGTCAACCTCCACGTGCTCCCCCTGGAAACCATAGTACTGAATTCCATGTGTATTCATCACGATGGGCTAACTGACCTACTTTTTCATTCTCACCTATCATTATCCCTCGCTGGTGCCCCGCCAGCGTATTCCATTATCACAGACGAGATACCACTCCATTATCATCCATTAAAAGAAAAGGACTGCTGATCGCCAGAGGTTTTTTTTATACAACTTAGAATGGCAAACAAGCTGACGGCCCATCTGATGGAAAGTGGTAACCGTCGCCTATACACATGAGCAGTAGCATAGACATAACAGAGTATACTGTTTCGCCCATGATACCCCCCATGCGTTGCCATTCCTGAGGACTCAGGAGTTATTTCTCTGTACCCTGTAAATCCACTGCTATATCGCACCCTTCAAACCGAAACACAGCCATGCAAACACAACTGCTTCACGGTTGAAACACGAATGGGACAGAGGTGGCCAAGCAATCGACTTTTGTACAAAGTCTCCCTCTAGTAATATTACTTGATACAGGAATTCATAGCCGATATATATATATATATATATATATATTTATATATAAGTGTATTTGCATTACTTACAGCACTTAGAGAACTATATTAATCTATGGCTTGTAATCTAGACACGAGAGAACACTTAGAGAAAGAATTAAAGATGACACTGCTCACTCATATATATTTATTTAATTAATATAAATACATATATAATATAAATAATACAGAAGGTTACCACCAATAGTAGCCATGCTTGGTACACGGTAACCGCAGTTTTTTTTTTTTTTGGTGGGTGAAAATGGTATGGTAACCCCGCCTGTGCTAACGGGATACGCTAGCGGAGCACCAGTGAAGGGTGATAGATGAGAATGAAAACAGGCCAGTTAGCACATCATGATGAATTCATCAGGAATTAACCATGATAGTTTTCAGGGGGAACCGCGAGGATGTCAACCTGGTTGGGTATATTGCTAGCAATGGGATTCTCAGTCTCCATTACTAACAATCCCTTTCCCCCGACAAGCACAGTTAGATGATGTTCGGTTTGAGGTTTGGTGCTGTTTTAAGACGGTCGCTGCTGCCCATCCCTCGACAGTTAATCTCCCTTAGTTGCCTTTTACGATTCCCACGAAAAAGGGAATTATGGTCCATTCTATGCTGGGTCCACAAGCGTAAGAAGCATATAAATCAATACATATAATAAAATCGTAACTGCTTACTGTCTGTACATGATATATATATATATATATATATATATATATATATATATATATATATATATATATATATATATATATATATATATATATAAGAAAAACCTATTATAGGGGGCTTTATGAACGCAATAGAATCCAAAACATTGTTTTTTTTATAATTTTTGTTTAGCCGATTTGAACGTGGTTTTTACTAGTGCGTTACGGTTTGCTCCAATTAAACATTGAGCGTTTGTTTTATTTCAATCGGTTCATAAATAAAAAAGTTATATCGAACTAAAGGATCACATATAAAGTGTTATAAAATAATCGAAGTCAATTTAACTGAAATTGGCTTAATGAAGGTAGGTTATCTACACTAATATTATAAAGAGGAGAGATTTGTATTTTTGTGTGTATGTATGTTTGTAATGAATAAACACAAAAACTACTTTGCCGATTTCAAAAATTCTCTCACCATTAGAAAGCTACATTCACCCTGAGTAATACAGGCTATATTTATTGCTAGAAAACATTAGGGAACCTTACTAAAACTCTAGTAACGTAACTTAAGATGTAAAAAAAATGCTATGAAATATCTTTGGTCGCGTGCGCTGCGGAAACTATTGGTGATAGAACAAAAGTATGTTCTACAATATTGAAGAAAATATCAATAACTACAAAAAACTTGGCGACACTATATGTCCAACCATTATCGTTATGTCACAATGACCACTTTTTAAAATGTTGCAATTTATGCACCCGTGCGAAGCCGTATATCATATTTTAACTCTAGGATACTTTATATATTAATTGACGCGGGCAGAGCCACGGGAAACAGCTAGTAAATAAATAAAAGACAATGAAAAAAGGGAACATTTCATTTATGTGCAGCTCCAGTCGTCTATGTGTTCGTATTCGTCGTAATCTGGTACTCTCTGGTTCCAGTAAAACCTTGGTATTCGCGGAACTAGATTGTATCTGAAACAATAGAAAAGAATGAAGAATGTTATTATATTTTTTACCATACCAATACCATATCAGCCGTTCTATCCACTGGTGAACATAGGTCATATTGCTGGCGAGAATTGTACCAGAGGGAGACTGTACAAAAGTCGTTTGCTTGGACACCTCTGTCCCATTCGTGTTTCAACCGTGAAGCAGTTGTGTTTGCATGGCTGTGTTTCGGTTTGAAGGGTGGGATATGGCGTGAATTTACTGGGTACAGAGGAATAACACCTGAGTCAACGTACGGGGGGTATCATGGGCGAATACCAGTTGAATTAGCTAGAACTTTATTAGGTATTAGATACGTAATTGTCATTTAAGTAAATAATACAATACGAGACCGGATTCATGAACAGTTCCAATGGGAATGATATACGGGAACTACATAGTAATAAAATCGAGCAACGCCGCGGGAAACGGCTAGTACCTGAATATGATTTGACGTGTGTCTGTATTAACACCGAATCCAAAACTGCTCACCACCGCATGTATGATGCCTGAAATATTAAATTACTACACGTAGATAGATAGATACTCTTTATTGTTTCCTCCAATAGATTACAATAGTAAACTTATTATAGATACAAACAATTACAAGAAATAATCACAGTGAGAAAACAATGGGCGGCCTTATCGCTAAGAGCGATCTCTTGCAGGCAACCTTTGGATGGAGAGGAGTAATTATAAACAGTTTGATTGGAGGCACGATGAAGATTCTATTGTTACTGAATATGGATATATAATACATGTAATAGTGTAAATATATATCCCTATTTACTATTATATACATATATATACATACACATATACATATATATATACACACATAGATATACATACATACACATATACACACACATGTCAATAAACACCTACACAAATAAATAAGTATATAAATACTACCAACATGTACATATACGTAAAAAACAAAGTTATAAATTTTTAATAAGGTAATACATTTTAATACAACATAATGTGAACTTAATCAACTTCTATCGTTATTATGATAGAAACACTCCCTACATGTGAGTCGTGGGGGGGAGGGATTGTTAGTAATTAGTTAGTTAGTTAGCTATCAATATTCTCCACCTGGAAACTATCGTGACTAATTTATCGTTGAATTCGTCACGATGGGCTAACTGACCTGCCTTTTCATTCTCACCTATCATCTCTCACTGGTACCTCGCTAGTATATACCGATAATGCAGGCGGGGTTACTATTCCATTTTCAGGCATTAAAAAAAATGTGAGTCGTAACTATTAATCGATTGGTCGACCTTTGATTTGTATTAATTTTTATACTACTTGTCGAGTCAATTGTTCGTTTGTTTAAATTCTGATTATGTTCTATTGAAACAGGACTCTGGAACAGACAAAAACGTATAATTGTATTTTTTTATGCAACTTAGAATGGCAAACAAGCTGACGGCCCACCTGATGGAAAGTGGTAACCGTCGCCTATAGACATGAGCAGTATTGTGGACATAACAGAGTATACTGTTTCACCCATGATACCCCCCATGCGTTGCCATTCCTGAGGACTCAGGTGTTATTCCTCTGTACCCAGTAAACTTTACTTTCATTGCCATATCCCACCGTTCAAACCGAAACACAGCCATGCAAACACAACTGCTTCACGGATGAAACACAAATAGGACAGAGGTACCCAAGCAAACGGTTTTTGTACAACAGTCTCCCGTTTTCACTAGAATCAGAACAGTTCTTTGTACGTAATATTTTAGTTTGTGATCGAACGGTTATTTCTAAAACTCTTTCACAAACTTCGATATACGAGTCTGTGAAAGAGTTTTAGTCCCTTAGTCGCCTCGTTCGGCGATACCCATGGGAAAGGAATTATTTATATATATCTAATGTGAATTTGACAGAAGGGGAAAAATGTTAGGACACTTGATACGACACGACGAACTTATGAACATTATAATAGAAGGTAAGATAGAAGGAAGAAGGGGGAGAGGGAGACCGAGACATAGTTACATCAGGCAGATCAAGGAAGGAGTTGGTGTCGTGTCGTATCAAGAGGTGAAGAGACTCGCTGAAAATCGTAGTGAGTGGCAAGAGCTCCACCGACAAGAGCGCAGCTCTTAAATGGATAGATAGATAGATAGATCTAAATATACAACTCATATATCTAGTACATAGTATTTCCATCACTGTCTTAAACTGTCATACATAACATGTCACAAGTAGACCGAGTTTACTTTCAATATGGATTAAATGTAAACCAAATATAAATGTATGAAATAACAACATGAAATGTTTTCTTAATTTATAATTGATTTTATATCGACTACCCCTCATTTAATGGTATCTGTCATTTATTTATTTATTTAGAATATAATATCAAATGAAGGCGAATGTAATGGGCACACACAATGCAGTTTATTTATATTTCTTATTATTGTTATTTTTAATGAGGAGTTTCGCGACTGACTCTTGGCCACAGCAGAATATCAGTGTTTTGCTCTTTCAAGGGCAAAGCAATAAACTAAGTTGTGACCATTTTGTGTTACTATGGCACACGCATGAAGGAAAAGAAAGAAAGGAGATTGTTAGTTTATATATTTTGTTTTATTTTTTGTTTTTGTTTTGTGCTTTTTTATTTTCATTCTTTTATCTCTTTTACTGTGTATTATGTGTATGTTTTTTTTTTTTTTATTGTAATTTGTGTGCTGTATGTAATGTAATAAAATTATCTATCTATCTATCTATTATGAACTGTAGTAACATGGACTTTATTTATTTTTTATATTAATCAACCTGATTTTATGGACACTCATTATTATACATGGTTTCTTTCATACATGCACTTGTATTACTTGCATACACACACTCTAACTTGTCTACCTCGCTTTAGAATTATAGATAGATAGATACTCTTTATTGTTTCCTCCATAAGGTTACAATAGTAAACTTATTATAAATATAAACAATTACAAGAAATAATCACAATGAGAAAATAATGGGCGACCTTATCGCTAAGAGCGATCTCTTGCAGGCAACCTTTGGATGGAGAGGAGTAATTATAAACAATTTGGTGGGAGGCACGATGAGAAATTCTGTTAGTTCTAAATATGAAGATGTGATACATATAATAATACAAATACATATACATACATGTATATAAATACCTGCACAAATACATAAAAATATATAAATAAATACTGCTCACATGTATACGTTAAACACTTATAAAAATTTTGTTTGTATAAATAAAATCCGTTATTGACTGTATTTATAAGAGACTTAGCATGTAATTTGTTTTTTAAAAGCTGTTGATTTTTGTATTAAAAAAACATTAGGTATGGATACGTATTTTGTATACCACTGAGGTGGTAAACAAGCATACGGCCCATCTGATGGTAAGCGGTTACTGTAGCCTATGAACGCCTGCAATTTTTTTTTTTGTGGATGAAAATGGTCTCTCTCTCTCTCTGCCTGCGCTAACGGGATACGCTGGCGGACTACCAGTGAAGGGTGATAGATGAAAGTGAAAACAGGCCAGTTAGCCCATCATGATAAATTCATCAGGAATTAACCATGATAGTTTCCAGGGGGAACCGCGAGGAGGTGGACCTGGTTGGGTATATTGCTAGCAATGGTATTGGTTGCTGTGGATTTTTGTATAAAAAAAAAATTTGGGATGGATACGTAATCGCCGTGTAGTCCCGGCATAGAATAGGCCACCGCTTCCTCTCCCGTGGGTGTCGTAAGAGGAGACTAAGGAAGGACGAGGGATGGGCAGCAGCGACTCCCTTAAACCCCCAAGGGTGAGACTTATGTTCAGCAGTGAAGAGTTAAAGACTGATGAGAATAATTATAATATATTTATAATAAATGAATTTTCCCAAGATTTTGCCAAGAGACTACAGCATGGGGTACTTCAAAAGGGGGGTAAAGAGGTTTCTTCAGGGTCGGCAACGGGCGCGTAATGCCCATGGTATTGCAGGCGTTCATAGGCTACGGTAACCGCTTACTATCAGGTGGGCCGTACGCTTGTTTGCCACCACAGTGGTATGAAAAAAAATTTACCCAAAAATACAATTATTCCTTTAAACAGCATGTCTTGTAGCACGGTTATTAACTTTTTCTTCCGATATCCAATTATGAAATGCAAGAACAATTTGATATTGCTCCGATACGAGTTATAAAATGTTTTCAAGACACAAGAGAAACCTTCGCGGTTCATTTTAAAAAAGAAATCCATTTTTTTTCTCACGAATCAATGTGTGATTTTTCGTTTTGTAAACACAATTCCAAGGTCTCGATGAATGTTGTAATCGATTGTTTTAATCATAAATCTAGTTTAAATTAATTTTTCTTTATACCACTGTGGTGGCAAACAAGCATACGGCCCACCTGATGGTAAGCGGTTACTGTAGCCTATGAACGCCTGTTGTTTTTTTGGTGGATGAAAATGGAATGATAATCCAGCGACATAATGGCTCCATATTGTTCTGATAGATGCATATTTTTTTATGGATGAAAATGGTATGGTAACCCCGCCTGCGCTAACGGAATACGCTGGCGGAGCACCAGTGAAGGGTGGTAGATGAGAATGGAAACAGGCCAGTTAGCCCATCGTGATGAATTCAACAGGAATTTACCATGATAGTTTCCAGGGGGAACCACGAGGAGGTCGACCTGGTTGGGTATATTGCTAGCAATGGGATTCTCAGTCTCCATTACTAACAATCCCTTTCCCCCCAACGCCTACAATATTAGGGGTAATACGCGTGCGTTGCCGACCCTGAAAAAACTTTTTACCCCCCTTTTGAAGAACCCCGTGCTGTAGTCTCTTGGGAAAACCTCGGCAGGGAGCTCATTCCACAACCTGAGTGTTCGTGGGAGGAAACATCTCTGAAACCATTTTTCTTTTAATTTTGAACATGGATTATATCACCTTGATTTATTTCACCAATAAAGAAAGTCACGCAAAGAAGGGTTAATGGCTGAAAAACGATGAAGATAATTGTTATTTCTAAATAATAATATTATAAGAAATATATTAAAGATTAATATTTTAATATAATTATGTATTTTATTTTTCAGGTAAGCAACTTTGCGTCTTCTTATGATGGTAAGAAAGTGACTGCTAGTTCATCGTGAACATTTGATCTGTAGTTCCTTAGCTTCCTTTTTTTTTTTATAATAACGTCAACTATAAGTATGACTAATAAAAAAATCTTTACCTACTTTTGTAACATTCCGTTTCGTTTACTACTTGTTAGTGGCATAATGACAACACCAGCTCTTTGCCAGTGATATATATATCCATAAAATTTTAAGAGATATACAAGATTATGTATCGATGTTTAGCACTAGATGACGCTTCATAGATTAAGCAAAAGAATTACAGAATTAGATGAGATAGTACTACGCCATAAGACTATGTAATAATTAATATACTTTGCTTGCTTTAACTAAATTTAACGTTAAAACAACTAAACCGAGTCAATTTATAACTACCTATCTACTTGCGACGCATAAATCACTGAGATTAGAGACTACACCTAGTCCTTAATCTGAGGTAAATCACAAACAATTTATTGTTTTTTTCTTCAACACTGTCATCCGCCATTTTATTCGTAGATAAAAAATGGCAGTGTCCCGCCAATTTATCGCGACATGATTTTTTTTTCAAAGATGGATGATATTGTGTTGTTTTATTTTCATCGTTTTTAATTAATGTTCGCGCCAAAATGTCGCTTAGGGTTTACATTGTATCGTGAAGGGCATAGGATGGAGGGTGTCTGTGTGACAAAATGTCAAAATATACCTAATGAAAATCTTATTTATTACCTTATCGGTAAGATGCAGACAACGCTTTTAATCGAATAAGTAGTTTCATTCGAATAAATCGAATATTATTTGAGAATTCATATTCTAAAAGTAAATCGATTTGAGTGATTTTATTCATAAATTTTTTATTTAATTACATAATATAATTCTCCATTGTGTGTGTTATATAATTTGTATGCCAATATGGATACGTCGGGGGGAAAGGGATTGTTAGTAATGGAGTTTGACAGCCCCATTGCTAGCAATATGCCTTATTAGGTCGACCTCCACGTGGTTCTCCTTGGAAACCATCGTGAACAATTCCTGTTGAATTTGTCACGATGGGCTAACTGACCTACTTCATCCTCACCTATCATCCTTCACTGCTGTCCCGCCAGCGTATACCGTTTGCATAGTCAGGGTTACCATTACATTATCATTAATTGAAAGAAAAACTCAAGGACAACTATTTTACTTGATTTGTTAACGTAATAGTAGAGACATGTATATAAATGAATTAGTAAAATCTATATGTTACGCGAATGTACCAGTATGAGAGTGAAAAAATATTAATGGATGACGTTCCATTGTAATCCAAAAGAAAAAAAAATATTGTTTTGCATTTTGCACGTTTATATGCATGTATGTATATGTGTTATATATATATATATATATATATATATATATATATATATATATATATATATATATATATATATATATATATATATATATATATATATATATATATATATATATATATGTATTGCATCTCCCATCTTTTGGAGGAAACAATAAAGAGTATCTATCTATCTATCTATCTATTCTTTAAATAGTGCAATAAATAGTATATAAATAAAAATAAAATTGGAAGGTAACATGTTCCAAGAACATAATTATCGACAATTCCAAGAATGAACGCCAATTCTCCTGTGCAGTTATTGTCGAGTGCTCTTACATATTTGTTTCATATCCAATATCTGTCTACATAACTAGACAAAGCGAAGTTACATACGCGAATCGATAGCCCCTCAGAGATCCCTGGAAGGAACGAGGACAACCGTTCGCCTCTTAATATGTTCCATTCGTGTTTCAACCGTGAAGCAGTTGTGTTTGCATGGCTGTGTTTCGGTTTGAAGGGTGGGATATGGCGTGAATTTACTGGGTACAGAGGAATAACACCTGAGTCCTCAGGAATGGCAACGCATGGGGGGTATCATGAGCGAAACAGTATACTCTGTTATGTCCATGGTACTGCTCATGTCTATAGGCGACGGCTACCACTTTCCATCAGGTGGGCCGTCAGCTTGTTTGCCATTCTAAGTTGCATAAAAAAAAATGTTAAGGATCGAACAAATTCAATCAAAGTTGGTTATTCATTTGTTAATTTTTTCATTCATTCATTCAATTATACACACTCAGAGTTGAGAAAATACATCATGATACCAGCCTTGAACTGTCCATTGTTGAACATAAGACTCCACCTTTAGGGTTTTGTCAGATTACGTCTGGTAAGCGGATTAGCAACCGCAGTTTGGCTTTAGAGATGTTTTAAGAGGGACGCTGCTGCCCATACCTAGCTCTCCTTTAGTCGCCTCTTACGACGCCCACGGGAAAGGAATGTGTGGTCTATTCTATGCCGGGACAGCATGGCCAAAAATACTTAACAATAATAAATAATTATTATTATTGTGTTTGCATGGCTGTGTTTCGGTTTGAAGGGTGGCATATGGCAGTGAATTTACAGGGTACAGAGGAATAACACCCGAGTCCTCAGGAATGGCAACGCATGGGGGGGTATCATGGGCGAAACAGTATACTCTGTTATGTCCACGGTACTGCTCATGTCTATAGGCGACGGTTACCACTTTCCATCAGGTGGGCCGTCAACTCGTTTGCCATTCTACGTTGTATAAAATAATAATAATAATTATAGGAAGTAACTGAATTACGAATACCAAATATGTATTTGTATTTCAAGTACTGCCCAGTCCTGCCGATACGTGTCAAATGTGATTTCTCGTAATACACCATGTATTCTGATGAGAATTAATCATTTTAATTAAAAATCATTATTTTTAAAACAATTGTAAATGTTTTGAAATGACATTATTAAATCGTTTGAGCATAACGGATGAGTGTGGTAAACATTTTTTGATGATATTTTTTTCTCGTATAAAATGTGGGGTTGACAGCGCTAGAGCACAGATCGTCGTCACCCAAGATGGCTACCAAATCGTGTTTCCTGCTAGTTGGTAAGTATTAAAACTATTAATTTTGTCTTTTTCTTTTTTTTTATACAACTTAGAATGGCAAACAAGCTGACGGCCCACTTGATGTAAAGTGGTAACCGTCGCCTATACACATGAGCAGTACCACGGACATAACAGAGTATACTGTTTCGCTCATGATACCCCCCATGTTTTGCCATTCCTGAGGACTCAGGTGTTATTCCTCTGTATCCTGTAAATTCAATTTTGTCCAAAATAATGTTACAGAAACATGTAACAGAAAGTGACCTCTGCCTACCCCTCTTCTAATGGTATCTGTTATTTATTTACACTAGTCACAAAAATTAGGGGATATAAAAAAGATCAAAATTTTTGGATGATTTTCAACGAGCTGTAACTTCGAGGAAAATGATGGTACAGCAAAAAGAAAAAAATTAAATTGTAGTTCCAAGTGTCTAGTTTTCAGACGTGACCATGAATATTTTTTATCATGTTTGGGTTTGGAGTAATCTTAAGAAAAGTACTAAAAAATTTAGCAATTTTTTTTTTACCTAAAAAAAGATCTACGGGCTAAAAAAAAAATTGTATATATTTGTATTTAGAATAAAATATCAAATTGTAGCAAATATAATGGACACACACAATGTATTTTATTTATATTTCTTTTTTATTATTATTTTTTATTAAGGAATTTCACGACTGGGTCTTGGTCACAACAGAATATCAGTGTTTTACTCTTTTGAAGGCAAAGCAATAAACTGTGTTCTGACCATTTTGTGTTACTAAGGCACATGTTTGAAGGAAGAAAACTGTTACTTGTTTTATATATTTTGCTTTTTCTTTTTATATATGCATTCTTTTATTTCTTTCTACTGCGTACGCCTGTTGTTATTTGTGTGCTGTAAGTAATGCAAATAAATTATCTATCTATGTATTAAATGTGCAAAAAGCAGCCAGCTTTCTAGCATACTGATAACTAAATAACTAAACTGCATTGTAAAATAATAATAAAAAAATTTAGATAAGTAGTAAACTTTTCACTTACAGCGCCATCTATTTAAAGTAATCTGAAGCAGCAGTTCTCACACAGAATAACTTACTTTTAATTTTACAATTTTTTATCTAAACTTTAGTGATTTTCAAATTTTATTTTCCTTTGATTCTTTCCTGTATTATAATGAATATACTAAAAAAGAAATATTCAAATCGGTCAAATCGTTTTCGTGTTTTAGCAAGACTAATGAAAGTAATTGTTTTTTGTATATGTATATAGATAGACTAGCGACCTACAATGGCTTTGCACAGTTTTTTTAAAGTAATATATTTGCCTGTATTATTTTTTGACAATTTAGCTTTCTATAGGTGAAAGAATTAGTTTCAGGTAGTATTACAGGCGTCCATAGGTTACGGTAATTCCATTTACCATCAGTCGAGCCGTATGCTATTTCACCACTATAGTAGTATGAAAATTACTAAAATCGATTGCGTAGTTTTTGAATTTATTAAGTTGAAAAATAAAAATAACACGAATTTCTTATGAATATATTTAAAAAACCAAAATAAACTGTACATATAATAATACATTTTATTTCCCGTGTGGTCTCGGCATAGAATGCGCCACCCCTTCCTTGCCCATGAGTGTCGTAAGAGGCGACTAAAGGAACTTGATGGTCGAAGGGTGGCCAGGAGCGTCCCTCTTAAAATATCACCAAAGGCTAACTGCGGTTGCCAATCCGCCTGGCAAGCGTGGCAACTACTAGCAAAGGCCTCCAGCAGGGGGAGCCTATGTTCAGCGGTGGACAATTAAAGGCTGATATCACGATAATTAATAATTTATTAATGCATATCTTCACTAAGTACAGAATTAACAAAATTGAAAAAAAATCGAATATGGTTGCCGTTTTATATTATTTCAATACATTACACTAATTCTGCAAATCTATTTTCTTCTAGCTATCTTCTGCGCTGTACGCTGCAACCCTCTGGGCCAGACCACTGTATGCGAAACATCGCCTAACCATCTCCCAGGTTTACCAAATTATGGGACCACTACAGTCTGTGACACCGCACCCAACTTTCTTCCACATGGTCATCCATACTCCAACCTGGGTGGGACTACGACCGTCTGCGAGACTACTCCCAACGTTCTAGGCCTTGGTTATCCCGGTCTCGGTTTGGGTCTTCCTTTATCGGGTCTTGGATCATCCACCACGGTGTGTGAATCAACTCCTAATGTGGTCGGTCTTGGGTTGGGGGGAATCGGGGCATTAGGGGGTCTTGGGAGTTTAGGGGGTGTAGGCTATCTACCAGGTCTAGGTTTGGGTTATCCTTATAACGCATTGGGGGCAACAACGGTATGCGACACTGTCCCTAATACGTTAGGTCATGGTTACCCTCACGGATCATACAATTTGCCACTCGGACTGGGGGCTGGACTGGGTTCGACAACTGTGTGCGAGAGTGCCCCCAACGTTGTTGGTTATGGGGGTTACCCCGTCGGTTATCCGTACGGGGGTCTCCCAATTGGGGGTCTATCCGGCTTAAACCCTTTAGGGTCGACGACGGTCTGCGACAGCGCACCAAACTGGAGTCTACCGATTGGCAGAGCTTTTTTATAAGTAATCAATCTTCCACAGCGTCCATTAAAAGTTCAAATACGCGTGTAGGAAGTATTGGTAGATCATTCCAGAACAATTACAGCTCATTCTCCTCTGACAACGGCCACAATATTGCAATAATTTGCAAATAACGCCCTCGCTCTTTCTAATATAAGCAAGTTACAAAAAATCAATTCAGTCATTCACAGATAAATAATTTGATTAGATAAAGAATAAAAAAACATCACGTGATATTAAAAAAAAATAGGCTTTATCTTGTTGAATGATTATCAAGTCTCATACCGAATTTTAATTGTTTATATCTGCTTTACTCATGTGTAAATTCGGGATTGCTCGAGTTATTTGCTAATCGCGACACAATCGCGAGATGTGACCATGCAAAAGGGCTTCTAAAGAGTCCGAAAGTAGCTCGATAATTTCGGAATTGCGTATGTAAAGCCGATATAAATAATTATATGTCCTTTTTCTTTAAAACCTTTGTCTGAATTGAACCAAAAAAAAAATATTTGTATTTACCTGACATCGAAATTGTTTAATTGTATTATTTTGTAGAATTATATATTATTATTGGCATAATAAAATGTTATAGTATTTTAACAGTTGTTTCAATTATTACTAATTTAATCTTCCTTTTAAGTACATTATGTAATTCTAAAATTGTTAAGACAACCTTATTGCTGAAAATTATCACGGTTTTAATTTAAATTATTATTAATTTATTAAAAAAAAATCGTCAATTATATTTTTTATATAAATAGACTTGAAATTTTAACGCAACAAAGTAGAAATAAAACAAAATTTAGTTATAATTGCTCAATGTACCCGTACTATATTTCGTTTGCTCACACAAATATACAAATGTAGTTTAAATATAGATTAAAACATATAAATAAATACTATTAGATAATTAATTTTAAATAATATACATATTATCCGTAACACGGGTCGCTAGGGGGCAGGCAAGGGTTGCATGGGGGCGGACAAGGGTTGCATGGGGACGGGCAAGGGTTGTATGGGGGCGGGCAAGAGTCGCATGGGGGCAGGCAAGGATCACAAGGGGGAGAACAAGGGTTGTATGGGTCACCCGGGTTGTAAGAATCGCATGGGGGTTGAGAAGGATCACATGGGGGTTGGCTGGGGTCACATGGTGGTTTGAAGGCATCACAAGGGGGTTGGCAGGGATCAGATTGAGATCGACATGGTATCACGCAGGCACAACCGATTGTTTTAAAGCAAGTTGGGGGATTTGGCTTGAAGCAGATGATTGGTGGGGCGGGGACAATTATTCTGGGTGGTTTGACGATGAGGCCATCTGGATTAGGTGGTTGAACAGGTGGGGGTTGTACCTGAAAGAAAAAATATTTATCGCATGTAAATACTATTATAGATTAACTACGTTCTTTTTATTAAGAATCCATAAAATCGTAATCATAATCGCTTTGCCTTGCCTATTGCTGGTGTTTCCCTTGTATTTGAGTGGTTTTTCATCCGATATTATTTATTATTATATATTATATTATGTATACATATGTACAATATAATGTATATATGTATAATGTAGGCAATGTTAGTATAATAATGTATGTTATTTTGAAATTACTATTCTAATTTATTATTGTTGCCGTCCACTGCTGGACATAAACCTCCCCCATAGACCGCCATAAAGAACGGTCCTGAGTCATCTGCATCCACAGGGAATCAGTGGATGCAGTTGGATCAATGCAATATAATACCTTTAAATATCTCAAAACATCTAACTGCGGTTGTCAAACCCGCTTTCCAAACGTGGCAACTACTGACAACCCCCCCCCCCCCCCCACCCCACCTATTGTTAACATCGTGAATTATTACATTATGTTAATTAAAAATATCTATTGTACTCACCTTTATGGGGGGCAATCTGGGCACGTGTACTGGGGGTGGTCTGACCACGATCGGGGGTGGTCGTGGGGGATTAATCGCCGGTGGTCTCACACATATCGGTGGTGGTTGGGGTGGCTGTACACAGGGTGGCTTGACCGTTATAGGAGGCAATTGATCCGGTTGTATCGGAGCTGGTTTCACGAAGATCCGACCAGGGCCCGGTGGTCGGATGGCGCCGGGCCGGACGATAATTGGTGGTGGAGTCGGGAACCGAATCTGCCCTGGTTTTATTATTATTGTATCTGAAAATATTATAAATATTTGTTATTACCACAAAGGGGGCAAAACAAGCATACAGCCTGTCTGATTGTAAATCATCCAAGTCCATTCTTGTTCACAACATTTATAAATTACCTATGTAATTTACATGAAAAGATTGATGAATGTGGAAGAAGCGAAAGAGATTTGTTTGAATCAAAGCATTTGATGTTCCATTGTTTCTGTCTACCCTAATGGGAGACAGGCATGACAGATATGTATGTATGTAATTTACAAGTGCAATAACGAATAAATGTGCATTTCTTGCTTCTTAAATTAAAACAAAATTGTCTAAATCTAAAATATCATTCTAGAATCCTTTTACAGTTTATGTTATTTTAATATGTCAGTCACGACCATCTTCGAAATCACTACTATTTTTTTCCCATCACTTTCGCTTTGTTTCACTGTTTAGTCATATTTTCAGCTGACATTGTTTCCGCTCTATGAAATATTAGTGTTTCCCAGTTTCGTACGGCTAGTTAGAAAGATAAATTAATATTTTTGATATTTTGCGTTATTTTATTATAATTCTCGTCAATGATATTTTTCAAATTGATATTATAGCTTAAATTACTGATTGGTAATGTAGTTTTTAAAAATAAAAGAGAAAAGAAAGTAAGAAAAAAAAAAACAAAAAAGAAGAAAGAAAGGTGAAAGAGTTTTTAAAAAAGGTCGAGTAATTTTTTACTTTAATTATTACAAATAAACAAAAATACAAGAAAATCAAATCTCACCGCTTTATAATATTAAGTATATACTTGCTAAACCTTAAGATACTTTTAACATTTAGCTTTCTTATTAGTATGCCAATTATAATTAATTAAATAAATTAACTTTAAAGAAAACTTACTAGGTGGCGCTTGTCCGTTTGCAAACCTAACTCTCGGTTCGCACGGGTCACACGGTCCAATCTGTATAGTCCCTGGACCTCCATTACTCGGGTCACAGGGGTCACTAGGGGGCGGACAAGGACAAGGGGGTGGACAGGGACAAGGGGGTGGACACGGACAAGGGGGTTCGCAGGGAGGCTCGCACGGGCACGGGCAGGGGAACTGTGGTTCCGGCACCGGCTGAGCCAAAACCGAGCCGAGAAGCAAAACTGTGTGTAAAAAATAAAAAAAAATACCTTAAATTATAGTTACGATACGGTATGAAATCAGATGCTGTGACGCAAACTATTGGTAAAACCCTACGGAGGAGACCTTTGGTCGGCAGTGGACAATTTGTATATATATACAAATTGCCTCCTCCTTTTATGAAGTCGGTCGAAAACTACAAGTTAAAGATAAATTAATCTTACCGGATAACCATAGCACTTTGCCCCGCGCCATCTTTCGGTCGTCTGGTGTATTGAGCAATGCATTCTACAATTTATACGCCCATATATTAAACTAAAGTCACTGGCCAAAGCCGAATCGAATTATTAAACGAAAAAAGAAAAGTAAAAAAAAAAAAAAAATATTTAAAAAATAAAAAAATAAGGTTATAATTTTTAAATGGACTGATGCACTCGAAATGGTTTTGTTTGAATAACTGTTTTAAATGTTTAAAATAGTGACGTTCCGTTACACGACTTTGAATAACACGTTCCTGTTTTGAAATTCGAATTTAAATATAAAATGGAAATAATATTATTAAAAAAAAATATATTTTTTATACAACTTAGAATGGCAAACAAGCTGACGGCCCACTTGATGGAAAGTGGTAACCGTCGCCTATAGACATGAGCAGTAACATGGACATAACAGAGTATACTGTTTCGCCTATGATACCCCCCATGCGTTGCCATTCCTGAGGAGTCAGATGTTATTCCTCTGTACCCTGTAAATTCACTGCCATATCGCACCCTTCAAACCGAAACACAGCCATGCAAACACAACTGCTTCACGGTTGAAACACGAATAGAGCAGAGGTACCCAAGCAATCGACTTTTGTACAAAGTCTCCCTCTGGTTTTAACGACTTGGCTATGAAAGTCGCGTTGTAGAAAAAAGAAAGTATAATTGCTGTTTAAAACATTTATTTTACAGAACAATTTCAATGTCCATACATTATTATGTAGTATTGTTGGTAAAAAAACACTTATTTTTAAATGGATGATAATGGAATGGTAACCCCGCCTGCGCTAACGGTATACGCTGGAGGGGAACCAGTGAAAGAGTATAGTTCAGTTAGTCCATCGTAATGAAAACTCCTGGAATTCAGTGCGATGGTTTCCAGAAAGGACCATATAGTCCCAATCCCTTCCCCCTAGATATTTTTCACTGTGTCATTATGCACAAGCTTATGTCATTCTCTCTTAGACTAGTTTATTGCGTTTCCTTACTTACTTTTAAAATATTCTGAGGTCGAAAAGGGTATAGTACATTCTTTGTTAAGGTCGTTGGTCACTAAATTAAAATTGAGCATTAAATACTACATAGATGGCGCTAGATTCGAGACATGTGGTGTTTGTTATTTTGTACTTAATTAAAAATAATTTGAGGCAAAATTTTTAGACTGGCGAGTCCTATTCGTGTTTCAACTGTGAAGCAGTTGTGTTTGCATGGCTGTGTTTCGGTTTGAAGGGTGAGATATGGCAGTGAATTTACAGGGTACAGAGGAATAACACCTGAGTCCTCAGGAATGGCAACGCATGGGGTGTATCATGGGCGAAACATGTTATGTCCATGGTACTGCTCATGCCTATAGGCGACGGTTACCACTTTCCATCAAGAAAAAAGGGATTTTTTGGAATTCCACTGCAGGAGAATTTGCTTTGTATTATGCGATTGATAGTACTTTTTTATACTACAAAGATGACAAACAAGCCTACAGACCGTCTGATGGTAGCGGTTACTATAACCTATGGACGCCTGCAGCACTATGAGCCAAAAATAGTCAAACTGTTTATAATTACTTCTCTCTATCCAAAGGTTGGCTGCAAGAGATCGCTCTCAGCGATAAGATCGCCCATTGTTTTCTCAGAGTGAATATTTCTTATAATTGTTTCTATTTAGAATAAGTTTACTATTGTAATACCTTACTTAATATTGTAAAACGCGCTTCCTAATGCCATTAAGAGACTACCGACTAAACCGTCTTTCAAAAAAAGCGCTCACTTTTTTTCGTTATCCGAGCAGTAAGTGCTTTATATTATTCTCAATTTCGTGTATAATGTAGTATATGTCATATATGTGTAAGTATATTTGTTATTTATATATATTTATTCGTTTATATATGTAATTTAAGTATGTATGTATATCAATAATTACTAGTACCGCATTCGAGTATTCTGACACTTCCCTACGGTTGACTGGGAGAGAATGCTTCAAGCATTAAGTCCGCCATGTACACATATATGTACTAATGAATAAATGGATAAATTATTTCTTTTCCATTTTTGTTTTTGCTTATAAATAATATATTAAATGGTAGGTTTTTATTGTACGGATAATCTGGTAGTATTGTTTTATTGTTACCCTATTCCCTTTGGCCGCAACAGAATATCAGTGCTTTGCTCTTTTGAGGGCGAAGCAATGAACTGAGTTGTGGCCATTTTGTATTGCTATGGCACACTCACAAACGAAAATTGTATTTAGCTTTGTGTATCTTTTTTTTAATCTTAATTTTATCTCGCCTTTTTTTGTACATTTATATTGTAATTTGTGTGCTGTAAGTAAGTAATGCAAATAAATTATCTATCTATCTATCTAGATATGGGCAAGCCCATCAAACGTTTTCCTTAATAACGGTTAAATATCACTAAAAACGCAGCCTCCAACACCAGTGTCGTAGCAATAAAAACTTTTTTATTCACCATCTTTAAGGTTTTCGTTTCCTGTTGTTCGAAGGGGAATTTTATGATTTTATGAATTACGCAGTACTCTCTTGTGATTGTCGATGGAAGATTGAAAATTTTATTGTAAAATTGGTGTTTTAAACGATGGTGATACTGTATTAAAAAAAGACTATTGTTCAATTATATGTCTATTTATTTTTATAAATATACATAATTAAATATCCCACGAAATAACCGAGTCTGAATGTGACAACACTAGTTATTTATATAAACTCAAATTTACTATCACTGGAGTTTTTTTTTATGCAACTTAGAACGGCAAACAAGCTGACGGTCCATCTGATGGGAAGTGGTAACCGTCGCCTATAGACATGAGCAGTACCGTGGACGTAACAGAGTATACTGTTTAGTCTATGATATCTCTCATGCGTTGCCATTGCTGAGGACTCGGGTGTTATTTCTCTGTACCCTGTAAATTCACGCCATGTCTCACCCTTCAAACTGAAACACAGCCACGCAAACACAACTGCTTCAATAAACTTTTAAAACGAATTTGTTAGTTACAAGATAGTTACTAGTTTATAAAATTAATAAAGAAGATTACTGATAATAATACACGGACGATTCCGTTGAAGGTTCCAGAAAAACGCTGACAAAAGCCGCTCACACAATTATTTGGCACTGTGACGCTTTATTGCTGTTATTCATGACAAAAGAAACTGAAAATAAGTTCTATAACAGCTCATTTCATAATAGTAAATAGGTTTATAGCTTTAATAAATAAAAGATTCAGTTATTGTGTGCCAAATCGCAACATTTCCCCCAGCCTTGAAAAATAACATGGCGGCTGTATGCAGGAGAATGGTGGATTGCGGTTAGATTTTTTTATTTGTTTATTTTTTTGTATATACATTATAATATAAATGTATGTATATTAATGTGCCTCCCACCAAATTGTATATAATTACTCCTCTCCATCCAAAGGTTGGCTGCAAGAGATCGCTCTTAGCGATAAGGCCGCCCATTGTTTTCTCATTGTGATTATTTCTTGTAATTGTTTATATTTACAATAAGTTTACTATTGTAATCTTTTGGAGGAAACAATAAAGAGTATCTATCTATCTATCTATCTATCTATCTATCTATCTATCTATCTATAATGTTGTTGGAGAATAACAAAAATCAATGTTTGTCACGTTAACTCTAATGTAATGTCACCTCGCCTGCGCTATCGGTATATACTGGCACCAACGACAAATGATAGGAAAGGACGAAAGCAACCCCATTGCAACGGTAAGAATTTACCACGATAGTTTAGACAAGGTCGACCTGGTAATATAATTATACATAATTTCAAATAATATGTACATTTATTTTTAGATACAAAATCGGGACTTAAAGCGTTGTAAAAGCTTTTCCAGGTAAACAGTACCTGCATAGCAGCTTCTTTATTGTCGATGTTTCGACGTGGATTGCATCGCGTCGTGGTCACGTGTGTGGGTACCGTGGGTGCGGTTTTTTTTATACAATTTAGAATGGCAAACAAGCTGACGGCCCACCTGATGGAAAGTGATAACCGTCGCCTATAGACATGAGCAGTGCCATGGACATAACAGAGTATACTGTTTCGCCCATGATATCCCCCATGCGTTCCCATTCCTGGTCACGACAGAACTGAAGTGAGCGGCGTCTTCGTCTGGCAGCTCACGCAGTCTCCTCAAGTACCCTCACACAGTCACCATTATTATCTAGGGCTACTTTACCAGAGGGAGACTTTGTACAAAAGTCGTTTGCTTGGGTACCTCTGTCCCATTTGTGTTTCAACCGGGAAGCAGTTGTGTTTGCATGGCTGTGTTTCGGTTTGAAGGGTGGGATATGACGTGAATTTACTGGGTACAGAGGAATAACACCTGAGTCCTCAGGAATGGCAACGCATGGGGGGTATCATGGGCGAAACAGTATACCCTGTTATGTCCATGGTACTGCTCATGTCTATAGGCGACGGTTACCACTTTCCATCAGGTGGGCCGACAGCTTATTTGCCATTCTAAGTTGTATAAAAAAAAAAACCACCTCAGTTGTTTTTGTCAAGTGTTAGTTTGAGGTGGGAGAAACTGTTAGACACCAGCATCCACCCCGCATGTAGGGGTCGTGTGCAGCGGTGTAGCGTGCGAGTCCTCGTGTCTCAAATCTTGCTCTCATCTCGAAGCAAAATATCGCTCGCTCGGCGGCTCGTATCTCAAAACACTTGTTTTTTTTTTTGACGGGTGAAAATGGTATGGTAACCCCGCCTGCGCTAACGGGATACGCTGGCGGAGCACCAGTGAAGGGTGATAGATAAGATTGGAAACAGGCCAGTTAGCCCATTATGATGAATTCATCAGGAATTAACCACGATAGTTTCCAGGGGGAACCGCGAGGAGGTGGACCTGGTTGGGTATATTGCTAGCAATGGGATTCTCAGTCTCCATTACTAACAATCCCTTTCCCCCAACACTCGTATATCGAGATACCACTGTATATTGTACTTTTTTTTAATAAACGATTCATGGCTATATTGCTAGCAATGGGCATTTTAAATGTCATTACTAACAATCCCTTTCCCCCCTCAATAACCTTCAGCTAACATCGAATGATACTTATATTTGCCGTCTATGTCAGCACGTACGTCCCACACAAACTCCGCAACTAACGAACTGTATGTGTACGTGACACGATTCACGCGAATAGTTTGTGAACTAACTTGTCAAATTTACGTTCGGGTTCTGCGATATGGGTGGCTTGATATGCGGCGTTCTGTGGCCACAGCGACGGTTTCTAGTCGCAGTGATTATTTTCTAGTCGATTTCAGAAAGACTCAATTCGGTTTTATTTTTTTTACCAGTTCATCATCATCATATCAGCCTTTAACTGTCCACTGCTGGACATAAGGCTCCCCACTAGTGGGGTTTTGCAAGTAGTTACCACGTCAGGCTTTAGAGGTGTTTTAAGTTTTTACTGGTAATTCCGCTACCGTTAGCATGTGTGTGACTGCCAACACTCTTCTTTCTACATACATACATACATATCTGTCACGCCTGTCTCCCATTAGGGTAGGCAGAAACAATGGATCACCAAATGCTTCGATTCAAACGAACCTCTTTCGCTTCCTCCACATTCATCAATCTTTTCATACACGCTCGCCGGTTACGGGTACTTTTGATTTGGCCCTTCTTCAGCACGTCGGCTACTTGGTCAACATACGTCCGTCTAGGGCGGCCCCTATCGACATCTTCTTTCTTATATGTGAAATATCTGATTCGATCATATTTTCAGATCAGACTTCATAGATCGCTAACGTCTTTGATTACATCTCGACGGCTCGAGACCTATCAATACAAATTCAAATTCAAATTCAAATTCAAAAATCATTTATTCATGTAGGACATTTTAGCCGCTTATGAACGTCAAATTTTTACATTATAATTTTATTTTTTTCCCTACCGTCCAGTTCGGTATATAGACCCAATTGAGAAGAACTGGCAAGAAACTCAATTGAATTACTTTTTTTTTAAAGCCAGTTTATTTACAATGTATATTTATATAGGTGTCTATGTCTAACATTAAATGAAAATTCAGTGCATGAACAACTATTGCCATGCACACTCGTCATTCAAGTAATCGTTTAGTGAGTAATAGGCTTTGCTCAGCAAATATGATTTAACAGATGTTTTGAATTTATTTAAGGGTAATCCCAACATATCCTTTGGTATCTTATTGTAAATTTTTATACCTATTCCCATCTATCCCCATATGACTGGTTATTCGATTACAATTATTTTGTTTAATTCCGCTACCGTTAGTATGTGTGTGATTGCCAACACTCTTCTTATATGTGAAATATGTATCTCAATATATTTTACAGCAGCATAGATTGATTCTAAGTTTCATATGTCGCAAACGTCTTCGATTACATCTTTGCTTTGAGGCTTCTCAATACCATATGACTGGTTATTCTATTAGAATTATTTTGTTTAATTCCGCTACCGTTAGTATGTATGTGTGTGGCTGCCAACACTCTTCTTTCTTATATCTGACATTTCTGTCTCAATAAGTTCTACAGCATAATTTAATTCTATGTTTCATAGATCGCTAACGTCTTCGATTACATCTCGACGGCTCGAAGCCTATCAATACAATATGACTGGTAATTCGATGAGAACAGGGAGCCCTGTCCTGAATTTATTTTGTTACTTGTGCAAACTTATTTTGTCTACTGCCCACTTTGAGAATAAATTATTTTTTAGCGCCCCCATTTTTTCACTTACATAAAAACTATTACTTCAAGATCAACAAATCACCCCCCAAGCCTCACAACGTCCTTATTTTTTTCTGGTTCTCTTACCACTCCCCTTTAGGTCTGCAGCGCCCACAAGGGTACGTTATCGCCCACTTTGGTAAATGCTGGATTAGAATGATTTTGTTTAATTCCGCTACCGTTAGTATGTGTGCGACTGCCAACACTTGAAGATTGGTTACCAATGGTAATGATCAATGTTTAAATAACCAGTGTTATGAACTTAAGCTAGATAACATCTAGTTTAGTAAAATATGTATTTTTTCGTCACCTCATAACTGCGTCAGTTGTAAACCGACTTATAGATTGTAGTATAGTTTTTAAGTCAATATAAATCGTTTTTTTTAGTATAGTTTTTACTAGCGACTCGCCCCGGCTTCGCACGGGTGCAATGCTCATACTAAATATACCTACATAATATTGAATTTACTGGGTATGGTATTTATTGAAGTTACAGGAATGGCAACGCATGTGGGGTATCATTGGCGAAACAGTATACTCTGTTATGTCCACGGTACTGCTCACGTCTATAGGCGACGGTTACCACTTTCCATCAGGTGGGCCGTCAGCTTGTTTGCCATTCTAAGTTGTATATATATATATATATATATATATATATATATATATATATATATATATATATATATATATATATATATATATATATATATATATAATGAATGCTGTATTGCTTAAAATCACTTCGTAAATAAGTCATTTATTCCTGTAAAATGTAAAGGATAAATAATGGTTATTGTGGGTTATCCTTAAGAGATATACATATACCATCGCGGACTTTTTTCTTGACCTTTTTAAGGTGTACAATACTGTAGTACATTTTTTTGATCTATCTCGTACGGTTCAGCCAGCGTTTGCAATGTAAGCGCAAAAAAAGTATTTACCACATCATATTAGAAACCTATAAATTTGTCAGTGTTCCTCCACTATATTATGCATGTATTATACATATAAACCTTCCTCTTGAATTACTCTATCCACTAAAAAAAACTGCTTCAAAATCCGTTGCGTAGTTTTAAAGATTTAAGCATACATAGGGACGGACAGACAGCGACAGCGACTTTGTTTTATACTACATGTATGCAGTGAAGACAATATAAAACGTAGTTTTTAAGTCAATCTAAGTCGGTTATTTTCTGAGCCAGAATCTGTTATTTCTTTATTGAATACCTAGATGACTAGTGGTTCAACCCGGCTTCGTACGGGTGGATAGAACTTTCGAAAATAATATATAGTTTATGTATTATTTTTCAAATAAAAAAAAAACAATTTTCAAAATAATTTATAACTAAACCGATTTGGAATTTCTTTTTTTATCTGAAAAGATATACAGATTGGTCGTATAGACATTTTTAGTGGATTAATTTTTAAATTAAAATAACTGGTTTTTACCAGAATTGAAATCGGTTTTTTTTGAAAACGCGATTTCAAATTATTTGAAATTGAATACTGGTTGACAATTTCAAAAGTGTACCGTACGGGATTAACATGAGATTTATCTAAAAATATTATATACTATCTACACCAGAGGGAGATTTTGTACAAAAGTCGATTGCTTGACCACCTCTGTCCCATTCGTGTTTCAACCGTGAAGCAGTTGTGTTTGCATGGCTGTGTTACGGTTTGAAGGGTGCGATATGGCGTGAATTTACTGGGTACAGAGGAATAACACCTGAGTCCTCAGGAATGGCAACGCATGGGGGGTATTTTGGGCGAAACAGTATACTCTGTTATGTCCACGGTACTGCTCATGTCTATAGGCGACGGTTACCACTTTCCATCAGGTGGGCCGTCAGCTTGTTTGCCATTCTAAGTTGTATAAAAAAAAAAACTAATATTATAAAGAGGAAAGATTTGTATTTTTGTGACTTAAAAATACTACTTTGCCGTTTTCAAAAATTCTTTCACCATTAGAAAGCTACATTCACCCCGAGTAATATAGGCTATATTTATTGCTAGAAAAGATTAGGGATCCTTACTAAAACTTTAGTAACGTAACTCAAAGTGTAAAAAACGCTATAACATACCTTTGGTCGCGTGCGCTGCGGAAACTATTGATGATAGAACAAAAGTATGTTCTACAATATTGAAGAAAATATCAATAACTACAAAAAACTCCGCGACACTATATGTCCAACTATTATCGTTATGTCACAATGACCACTTTTTAAAATGTTGTAAAAATGTCCACCCGTGCGAAGCCGGGACGGGCCGTTGGTATATAATAAAAAACACATGAAATATTTACATATATATTCATAACATTTTATATATTATACATTTAATATAATTATATATAAATATAAATTACATTAAACTACATTTGCAAACGTTACAATCAAATAAAATAAGTACAGATACTAAAATAAATATTGTAATTAACACTGATCCATTGAAACAAAGCCGCGAGTCGTTAGTTGTATAACGTTTAAGAGATCTATTAAAGATTTTTTTAATATAATATTTAAAAATAATAATCTTTAAATATCACTGTTATTAGCCAATTTTTTTTTATACCACAAAATGGCAAACATGCCAGCCCTTTGTAAACGCTCACTGTAGCCTATGGACGCCTGCAACACTAGGCGTGTCACGTGCGCGTTGCCGACAGTGAGAGAACCTTAATATAACCTTTTTGAAGAGCCCCAAACTGTAGTTTCCCATTTAAAAGGCGCGTATGCATCTCAAACATGGCTTTTCGCATATTGGACTGACCACCAAATAATTCTAGATAGATAGATAGATAGATACTCTTTATTGTTTCCTCCAAAAGATTACAATAGTAAACTTATTATAGATATAAACAATTACAAGAAATAATCACAATGAGAAAACAATGGGCAACCTTATCGCCTATCTATTTATATTCTATGTCTACAATCTAGAGTAGGCATAGTCCATCAGATCTCTTTAAATACGCTCATAAAAATGGCTTACTTTAAAAGGCAATACGCGATCCATTTCGTATACCCAACCGAATTTAATAGAGGCATCAAGCAGATAGCCTAACATAAGTGCAATAGTGCAGTTTCATTGGTCGGGTTATACGAAATAAAAGTTGAAAAAGTTAACCTATTCGTTTGGTTTATCCAGCCGAATTTAATATGTATCTCGTGTTAAGAGCGTAATATTAACGCACTAGTGTAGTTTCATTGGACGGGTTATACGAAATTTGCTTTAAAAGTGACCTGTCTCTTAATTCAATTAATACACAATATGACATTCATTTCGTAATACCTAATCAAATTTAATAGGCCTCTCACTCTAAGTGCGTAATATTAACGCACTAGAATAATTTAATTGGTCGGGTTATACGAAGTTGAGCGTAAAAGAAGTTACCTTAAGACGCAGGTCTCCATTCATTTCGTGATACCCAGCCAATTTTAATAGGCATCTGACATTGAGAGTATAAAATTAACACATTAGTATATTTTCATGGGCGGGTTATACAACAGTAATTACATATATGTATAATGAGAATTAAGTGAAGTGAATTAAGTTATTAAGTAATTGGTTTTGAAAGAGGTACATTGAATATTCTATTTTTAGCATTCGAATTATAAATTAAACAAAAGTCTTTATTTTGGGTGACTTCTACGGTAAGAGATTTCAATTTTAAAATGGTGATTTTATATATATAGGATTTTAAATAATTAAGGATTATTATTTCTCAAATACTGTTAGGGCAAATTATGGGCATCAGTAACAGGGCGGCGGGCATGGGTCCTCGCATGGACAGGGGCTCGCCTGTTGACACGGCAACAGGGACGGGGATGGAAATTGGGAGTTCTGTTGTTGTTGTTGTAATACTTGAAATGGAAAGCAAATTGTTGGTGGTTGGAGGCAGGGCGGAGCTGGTGGCCGCACGTATATTGGTGGCAGATTTATTTCAGGCAATTGTGGTGTGTTGAAACATATTGGGGGCGGTTGTATCGAGTTCGGTCGTTGGGGTCTGACGACGACGGGTGGCGGTTGGATGGGCGCTAATGGGGGTGGCCTTACCATTATGGGTGGTGGATTGATTGGGGGTAACGGGGGTGGTCGTACCACAATGGGCCTCGGCGTGATCGGAGGTATGGGAGGTGGTCGCACATACATAACTGGTGGTGTGATCGAGGAAAGTTGTTTTGGCTTCACCAGTATTGGGGGCGGTTGGATGATCACATCAGGACTCGTTTGGATATAGAAGGTGCCACCGGGAACTGGTACTTCTTGGAAGCCGATGGACTTTAGACGCTCCGGAACGCTGCTCTTTTGTGTTAATGTCCTGATCGGCCCATCGCCGCAACTTGCTGGAAAATAATTATTACAGTATACAAAAGTCGTTTGCTTGGGTACCTCTGTCCCATTCGTGTTTCAACCGTGAAGCAGTTGTGTTTGCATGGCTGTGTTTCGGTTTGAAGGGTGCGATATGGCAGTGAATTTACAGGGTACAGAGGAATAACACCCGAGTCCTCAGGAATGGCAACGCATGGGAGGTATCATGGGCGAAACAGTATACTCTGTTATGTCCATGGTACTGCTCATGTGTATAGGCGACGGTTACCACTTTCCATCAGGTGGGCCGTCAGCTTGTTTGCCATTCTAAGTTGTATAAAAAAAAACTAATATATAAAACATAGAAAACACAAAGAAATGTATTTAGTAAATTTATTTACACTGAATATGACAAATCATCATCAGCGTCTTATCACCCGTTACCTGTCCACTGCTGAACATAAGCTTCCTCTATAAAGGGGGCTTTTTCCAGTAGTTGCTACGCTTGGCAGACATATTGGTAATCTCAGTGAGACTTTGGTGATAAGGTTTAAGAGGGATGCTATTGTCCATCCCTTGACTATTCTATCTATCTATCCTATTTAAGAGCTGCTCTCTTGTCGGTGGAGCTCTTGCCACTCACTACCATTGTCAGCGAGCCTCCTCACCTCTTGATACGACACGACACCAACTCCTTCCTTGATCTGCCTGATGTAACTATGTCTCGGTCTCCCTCTCCCCCTCCTTCCTTCTATCTTACCTTCTATTATAATGTTCATGAGTTCGTCGTGTCGTATCAAGTGTCTTTTTTAGACAACTTATTAGAACTATTGAGACTAGACTAGACTATAATCTTTCCTTATTCACCTTTTACGACACCCACGGAAAAGAAAGTTTTACGTATCGATTTTTTTTAAATCTAATATATAAAATTCTCGTGTCGCGGTGTTTGTTACCAAACTCCTCCGAAACGGCTTTACCGATTTTTATGAAATTTTGTGTGCATATTGGGTAGGTCTGAGAATCAGCCAACATCTATTTTTCACACCCCTCAATGATAGGGGTGACCCCTAAATTTTTTTTTTATTTTTTTGTCGATTTTTTTTTTATTTTTAATTTATTATGATTTATCATTGAAAAATACATACAAATTCAAATTTTCACGCTTTTACGATCAACCCCTGTCGTTTAATCGCAATTTTTATATGCCGCAATAGGGTTGCAAGATGACAATCGAATATAATAATTGTAGTACAATAAATTTTCATGTATAGTTCTCGAAATGGTATGGTATGGTATGGTATGGTAAAACAACGTTTACCGAGTCAGCTAGTAAATCTATAAAGTGTAACATACGCAAAAGACTTACTAGGCGGGTCACATGGTGGCGGGCACGGCGGGCTCGGTGGACACGGAGTGCCTGGGGGTGGACACGGGCACGGTGGGGGCGGACATGGACGCGGCCAGGGAAAGTACTGCGGCGCTGGTGCGGCCAATGCTGATGATATTAGCGCTGCAAAATAATATTTTTTACAGTCTATATTTTTATAAATAAAACAATTTCGAGTTAGTTACGTTATTTATAATTTCAGAATGGCTGGACAGATTTTGATGACCTATGATTTGCTGGATTCTTGTATTATATATATATATATATATATATATATATATATATATATATATATATATATATATATATAGAGGATTTTATTACTTATTTTACTACTTAAATAGTCAAATAAGCATTAAAATATCGGAAAGATTCACGTAGAAAGATACGCCAAAATATTTAAAATTATACATATAAAGGGACAGAATTCTAAATTCTAAATTCGAATTTAAAAAAAAAATGGATTTGTTAGCTGAGTTCTTAAAGAAGATATTTTTAAATAATAGTCGGGCATCACCGAATTTAAAATGTAAGTAAATCCAATATAAATAATTACAGAAACATGTAAGCTAAATGGTCACGTACAACGCGGTTTCAGAGATGTTTCCTCCCACGAACACTCAGGTTATAGAATGAGCTCCCTGCCGAGGTTTTCCCAAGAGACTACAGCATGGGGTTCTTCCAAAGGGGGGTAAAGAGGTTTCTTCAGGGTCGGCAACGCACGCGTAATACCTCTGGTATTGCAGGCGTTCATAGGCTACGGTAACCGCTTACCATCAGGTGGGCCGTATGCTTGTTTGCCACCTCAGTGGTATTAAAAAAAAAAGTAACCACGCTTAGCACACGGGTCAGCAATCGCAGTTAGGCTTTTAGAGACATTTTAAGAGGGAACTGTGCTGCCCATTTCTCGACCGTTCAGTTCCCTTACTCGCCTCATACGACACCCACGGGAAATGATGAAATGGCTTATTCTATGCCGGGACCACAGGGTAAAAAATTTAATATATAATAGAATAAAAAAAAAAACATTACCTATAATGCCCAATGTCGTTAAATGCCCCATTACGACGGCCTTTTGTGTGTTGCCATAAGACATTACAATATTTATACCCAAAATTAATAGAATTGTTTTCACTTTTTCAAGTTTACGGTGATTTAAATTGTTTGACTTGAAACCATTAGACCATTATAAAATATGAATGTTTTATTAATATTCGATTTGTCAAGGACATTTACGTTTGTTTCACTGTAGCAAGCTTTCACGTACGTTATGAGATTTAATTATCAACACAGGCATCGGGAATGTCTTTTGTAGTAGACGAAGATGGCATGGTAACCCCGCCTGCGCTATCAGTACACGCTGGCGGGGCACCAATGAGGGATGATAGATTAGGGTTAAGCAGGTCAGTTTTTTTTTTGATGGGTGAAAATGGTATGGTAACCCCGGCTGCGCTAATGGCGGAGCACCAGTGAAAGGTGGTAGATGAGAATGAAAACAGGCCAGTTAGCCCATCATGATGAATTCATCAGGAATTAACCATGATAGTTTCCAGGGGGAACCGCGAGGAGGTGGACCTGGTTGGGTATATTGCTAGCAATGGAATTCTTAATCTCCATTACTAACAATCCCTTTCCCCCCAAGCAGGTCAGTTGGCTCATCGTGATGAATTCATCGAAAATTAACCACAATGGTTTCCAGGGGGAAATCGCCTGGTATCAGAAATTGTAATTATCCTAATGACCTTATCAGAAATGGTAGATGTCATGCCTTGAACAAACATGTGTATGTTCGAGGGATAATATGGACGTTCTACCAGAGGGAGACTTTGTACAAAAGTCGATTGCTTGGGTACCTCTGTCCCATTCGTGTTTCTACCGAGAAGCAGTTGTGTTTGCATGGCTGTGTTTCGGTTTGAAGGGTGTTTATATGGCGTGATTTTACAGGGTACAGAGGAATAACACCTGAGTCCTCAGGAATGGCAACGCATGGGGGGTATCATGGGCGAAACAGTATACTCTGTTATGTCTACGGTACTGCTCATGTGTATAGGCGACGGTTACCACTTTCCATCAGGTGGGACGTCAGCTTGTTTACCATTCTAAGTTGTATATATCCACCATGAAAATTGTATTATATATCAGTCGAGTGAGCATATAGTAAATTCATTAGCATATACGTAATATTTATATGTATATATAGAAGCGAAATTTTATTAAAAGTAGGTACTAAGGCAGACGGCGACATGGGCAAGGTATTACTGTTATTTCTGGGTACGTGTTTATACATTTTTAATTATTTATTTACTTATTCCTTAGCATATGTATGTGTGTAGTATCTATCATGCAGTATGTCTATGCCGGGGCTGTATCGGCCCCGGTATAGAATGGACCACCCCTTCCTTTCTCGTGGGTGTCGTAAGAGGCGACTAAGGAAGGGCGAGGGATGGGCAGCAGCGTCCTTCTTAAAACATCACTAAAGGCCTAACTGCGGTTGTCAACCCGCCTGCCAAGTGTGGCAACTAATGGTACAATTCCCCTTATGGGGAAGGCTAATGTCCACCAGTGGAAGATGATATGTGAGAATGAATGCAGGTCGGTTAGACCACCATGGTGAATTCTACAAGAATTAACCATGATGGTTTCCAGGGGGAACCACGTGGAGGTCGACCTGAGAGGGTATATTGCCCCTAAAATTGTCATTAAATATATTTAATTATTTATTTCTAGGAACACCGAATACATTATGTAATATATAAATATATATATATATATATATATTACAGCATTAATAAGCTATGCAGCTGCGGCACCATGGCGCTGCGTGAAGACGAACGACGGATCCATCGTCTGTTTCGACACACCTGCTCAGCCATCCATCAGGCCACCGACCATATGCGTGGGCCGACCGCGCCCACCCTGTGCCGGGCCAGCGACCATATTTACGCCTCAAATTTCCCCGTGTCCGTCGTGCCCGCCCCCTTGCAATCCGTGTCCACCCTGTCCCCAACCGTGTATGATGCCCTGCCCACCCCCGTGTGATCGTTCCTGCTATTAATAACATACATACATACATATCTGTCACGCCCGTCTCCCATTAGGGTAGGCAGAAACAATGGAACGCCAAATGCTTCGATTCAAACGAACCTCTTTCGCTTCCTCCACATTCATCAATCTTGTCATACACGCTCGCCGGTTACGGGTACTTTTAATTTGGCCCTTCTTCAGCACGTCGCCTACTCGGTCGACATACGTCCGTCTAGGGCGGCCCCTAACAACATCTCCATTCATTCTTGCTCGATAAATCTCTTTCGTAATTCTTCTTGCATCCGTCCTCTCCAAATGACCTATTAATAAATGTAAAATTATACGATTTTAATTAATTTTCGGCGATCTGTTGGGCGCGTGTTTTGCATTTTCGTTTCTTAATTAGTTCTTAATATTGTTATTTGATTAAATGTATTATATTTGGACAAGTATTGCATAATTGGATTAAATTGTATTTGGAACGTATTTATTTTGTTTTCTTTTTATTTTTAAACTTTTTTTTCTTATACAACTTAGAATGGCAAACAAGCTGACGGTCTACTTGATGGAAAGCGATAACCGTCGCCTATACACATGAGCAGTACCATGGACATAACAGAGTGTACTGTTTCGCCCATGATACCCCCCATGCGTTGCCATTCCTGAGGACTCGGGTGTTATTCCTCTGTACCCAGTAAATTCACGCCATATACCACCCTTCAAACCGAAACACAGCCATGCAAACACAACTGCTTCACTTTCATGTAACTATCAAATTAAAATGTTCGTTTTAGAGAAACAACGCTGTAGTATCAGCCCCACTGTATAATTTTACAACACAAACATAACTTAGGTACCTATAAACACAAAACTCACGTACTTATGTTACGTTTATTTCTTAAGATAAAGCGAAGTTATTGTATCATAAAGCTATATCGTTCTGCGTTGTTTTAGGCCAGCGCTGAATGTTTTATTCATGCATTCGTGAGGTTCATAGACATCTTTTTTTTTTTAATTCACTCTCATATACTTTTAGATATCTCAATACCTAAGTACAAGGAATTACATAAAAGGAATGATAAAATAAAAACTGTAAATCATATGGTTGCCTCCTTTCTTCTTATGCAAATATAATTAGTAAAAAGAGGACAAAAGATACACAATCAGTTGCTATTGTTCTCAATTCATAGCCGGCTAGTGCACAGAAAATGTTATACGGCCGTATAACCCTACCAAATTCAGATACAACCTGCTCGCATACTGTCTACATAAACTGTGTCGAATATACTCTGTTATGTCCACGGTACTGCTCATTTCTATAGGCGACGGTTATCACTTTCCATCAGGTGGGCCGTCAACTTTTTTGCCATTCTAAGTTGTATAAAAAAAAATTACTTATAAGTCGATTTGTAAACGAAAAAGGTTATGAAAATTCTAATTATCTTTATTTAAATAGACTTGTCTACAAGCACTTTTAAATTGTCTTTTATTTTAATCTACTGCAGGGTTTGGAAGGTTATTCTGTAGAAAAAAACCCACAAGGAACTCAACAGTTACTCTTTTAAATCTCTGTTAACATATACATATATATCTACACTAATATTATAAAGAGGAAAGATTTGTATTTTTGTGTGTATGTATGTTTGTAATGAATAAACTCAAAAACTACTTTGCAGATTTCAAAAATTCTTTCACCATTACAAAGCTACATTCACCCTGTGTAACATAGGCTATATTTATTGCTAGAAAAGATTAGGGATCCTTACTAAAACTTTAGTAACGTAACTCGAGGTGTAAAAAATACTACGCGCTATGCGCAACGGACACTATTGGTGATAGAACAAAAGTATGTTCTACAATATTGATGTTTTACAATATATATATATATATATATATATATATATATATATATATATATATATATATATATATATATAATAAAAAGCCCATACAATTTACTCCATTCGGTTATATTTTCTTTATGTTTACTACCTCATAACTCCGTCAGTTGTGGACTGATTTAGAAAATTCTTTCTTTATCTGAAAGGACATACTTACAGATTGGTCTCGCAGAGTTTTTATTAAAGTCAATTCTATAGTTTAGTATCTAAATCAAAATAAATTATTTTATCACAATTAAAGTAGATTTTTTTGTGTAAAACCATCTTAATTTTATAGATAGATAGATAGATACTCTTTATTGTTTCCTCCAAAAGATTACAATAGTAAACTTATTATAAATATAAATAATTACAAGAAATAATCACAATGAGAGAACAATGGGCGGCCTTATCGCTAAGAGCGATCTCTTGCAGGCAACCTTTGGATGGAGAGGAGTAATTATAAACAGTTTGGTGGGAGGCACGATGAAAAATTCTGTTAGTTCTAAATATGGGAGATGTGATACATGTAATCCCTATGATATAAATATATATCCCTACTCATTAATTCTTGATGATCCATAAAATAGCACAAGACGATTTTGTTTTTATACCACAAAGGTGGCAAGCAAGCATACAGCCTGTCTGATCGTAAACGGTCACTGTAGCCTATGGACGCCTGCAACACTAGGCGTGTCACGTGCGTGTTGCCGACAGTGAAGGAACCTTAATATAACCTTTTTGAAGAGCCCCAAACTGTAATCTCTAGATATACAACTTTCATTTAAACCAAAATTTTTAACGTTCCTTTTTAATATCTCATCTCGTTTCCTATTTGTTAGTTAGGGTGGGTTATTTTTTTAATGGGTGATAATGAAATGGTAACCTCACCCGCGCTATCGGAATACACCGGCGGGGTACCAGTGAAGGATGATAGATGAGGATGAAGCAGGTCAATTAGCCCATCGTGACGAATTCAACAAGAATTGTTCACGATGGTTTCCAGGGGGAACCACGTGGAGGTCGACCTATTAGGGCATATTGCTGGCAATGGGGCTGTCAATCTCCATTGCTAACAATCCCTTTCCCCCCATTTAGGGTGGGTAATCTATAGCAATATCTCTTCAGAGGGAGACTTTGTACAAAAGTCGTTTGCTTG